CGTGGACATTGTCCTCCCTCCCCCAGAAACCCCGGGCATCTCCCAGGAGCAGAGTGGTCCGCCTTGCCCACCGCTCATTTGCATTTCAAAGGCAAACTTCTGCCGGACTTGCTGGGAGACAGGAGACAGTGGTGGTACCTACCCGCTTTGCAGGGGTCGTGGTAATGCAGCTGTTGCTCGGTGCCCTCCTCACCTTCCAAAGCCCAGTAGTCCAAGGCAACATCCGAGTTGTCCCCAAGAACCCCAGTACCGCAGGGGAGCGGCAGGAACAGTGGCAGCAGCAATAACACCAGGGTGCCAAGTGCAGCCTCCGGGGGCATAGTGGCAAGGGGTCTGCGGGGATCTGAGGGACTTAGCGTGCACAGAAAGCTTAGATCCAGCGAAACACCATGCACAGGGTCAGATGTGGTGGCCGCTGCTTGGCTGCCAGGCACCAGTAGGGTACCGAGCAAGCCCAATAAGGCGTTCCCGACCCGGAAAGCCGCTGCCTAGCACGACTTGCCCAGTGGCCGAGGCTGCGGTGGCTGCGACTGTGTTGGCGGCGGCGGTAGTAGGAACAGTGGCCGCTCCGCCCCCTCCACCAGGGCTGGACCACACGCCCTCTCCAAGGGCCCCGGACAGCCAATCACTTAGGCGCCCTAGGAGAGGCCCCTCCTCTTCCCTGCACCTCGTTAACTTCGGAGGAACCCAAGCAAAGCGAAGATGCTGATGGATAGACAAGTGCCAGGGGCCCCAGGGGCGTGCCCACCTGGCCGAATGCCCCCTTGTACTGGCACAGTAAAGCACTGCTCCTCAAGACTGAGGCTGGGGTTCTTGCCTTACCTTATTCTACTAACTCATTTCACAACTCCCGGATATACGCATGGCAGGACACAGAGGGACCAGCAGCCTGGTGTGAACTGTCCAGTCCACCTTGCTGCCAACCCCGTGCTTTTGGACATTTGCTTCTCTGCAGAACGCAGTAGGATTTTCTTACTCTCTCAACAGCCCCGGTCCCGCCAGCACAGGTGCATGCGCAGCACCCACCAAACCCAAAGTTGTGGCTGGTGACATGTAAGGAAGATAGTCCAAGAGTGCAGACTTGCCTCTGGATGACCTTATCCTTCAGGAAAACAGTCCCAGTACGGGATGCTTTTGGTAGTCAAAGACTCACAAACCAACAGCCCTGGGTTCTTTAAAGTTATAGACATACCGAGCAAGCCTTGCCATTAGTCTGATAAAATAAAAATGAGGGATTCTTCAAATCTGGTTATTTCAAGTGCCCAAACTATTTAGGGGGATAATCAGACGCTATTTGAAACTCATTTCTGTGATGTACCTTCAATGTAAAAATTGTCAGAACTGATCCACGTTGACATACATTATTACTGCAAGGATTTTTCAAAGATCCTTTTATACAAGTAAATTGCCCTAATCAAGCGGTATAGCACATCAATGTGCTGTACAGATTTGTAAGTGCATCACAGTCCGATTTTTAAAAATTTAACTGCAAGAAGAAAGATGGACTGAGCTTCTCTTTGGGGTTTGTTACCACACGGTTTCATAGCTGCTAAATGACAAAGCAGTTAACAGGTCCAAACCTGGGCTTTACACCAGACTCCAAATTCTCCCATTACGATCATCTGCCTCCTCCATTAAGTAGGAAAGGTAGCAGTTAGCCACCAGAAGGACGCTACATGGAGTATTTTATTTTGTCTTGGTTCTCACAGAGAAATGGAGGGATAACCCTGCCTGGAGCTGTCATCAAATGAGCTCACAGAATTTAGAGCCAGGCTGAGCAAGATCTGTTGGAATTGGCAGGTTGGAGGGGACTTGAGGGGAGTAGCTGGCACCAAATGGCAAGGAAGGCCAAGTGGTCACTAAAACAGCCCATAGGTGTAGGAGGTTGAACGACATTTCTGCCTGACTGCTGGAAGGAGTCAAACCCAACGCCATGGTTTGCTACATGCACCCCAGTGAAGGTCACCACCTGTCAGTAGACAAGTCCACAAAGTCGACATCTAAAGGGCTAACAAACTTCTGTGACACTTCCAGGCTTCCAGATGGCCCCACGAAAACAGCCAGTTGGCTTCCTCATTAAGAGAGAATTCTGGAAAAGACACTAGAGGCTGGTCTTTGGCATGCACAGAAGCTGGAGCTTTTATTGTCTCTAATCGCCACCTGGTGGGTTAGCTGCCAATCTTTTCATCAATACCCTTTAGCCAAATATTTTGAAGACCCGTGATCCTAGATAAGCAAGCTGCAGTTTTGTGTCAAGCTTGTTTGGATGTTTCTTTGGCTACCAACTAATAGGTTAAGCAGCAAATGTTTGGGTTGTAAGAATGGTCAGATGGGAATGGCTGAAGAGGAATGTTCAATATTTTTCTCATCACCTAGGCGGTTCTTGATAACACATTAGTTCCATAGCAAGCTAATTTGGATTTATTATTATTATTTTTTTTTTGGATACAGGGTTTCCTCTATGTAGCTCTGGCTGTCCAGAAACTCACTATATAGACTTGGCTGGCCTCAAACACAGGGATCCTCCTGCTTCTGCCTCCTAAGTACTGGGATTAAAGACATGCACTTTTTTTCTCTTTTCTTTTGAGACAGGCTATTGCTATTTAGCCCAAGGTGGCCTCAAGCTTGTGGTAATCCTCCTGTCTCAGCCACTAAGTGATGGATAGGCCTGTACCATTATGTTCTGCTCAAATAAACTTAAAAGCATATTTAAATATCTAAGTCCAGGGTTGGAGAGATGGTTCATCCATTAACAGAGGACTTTGGTTTAATGCCCAGCTCCTATGTGGTGGCTCACTACCGTCTGTAACTCGTCTCTTTTGGCCTCCTTGGGCACCAGGTACACACAAGTGGTACACAGGCGTACATGCAGGCACACCACTTGTACACACAAAATAAAAATCTAAATCTCATGGAAGAAGTGGAGGTTGATTTAGAACAGGCGTTCTGACCTAAAGCTGCTCACCTTAGTTCTACTTCCGGTGCTTATCATCACTTCTCCAGCACCTTTGGCCTGGTGGAGAACCTCCAACAAGTCTTCTCCTTACGTCCTGCCCAGCTTGTCATTTGCACGGCTTTGCCCAAATGCATCACATTATCTGCAGCTGCTCAGACCCCTTCAGATCTACTTCTAGCCTCCTCTACTTCCCCACCCAGGTCAACCCCCCATTCCCATCCTTACCTTCAGCGGTGAACCTCAGAACAACACAGGTATTCTCCTGGCTCATCCCTTCCTTTACACCACTGAGTCCTTTGCAGGTAAATGACTCTTCCAATGGTCATGCTCTTTAAGACTGTCTTATTCAAGGTGGCATCCTAGGCGCTCTATCACCTTCAGACCTTTCCTAACCTTCACACAGCCTGGACTCTCACCACCTCCCGAGTTCTCTTGTTGCCTTCACCATCTACAATCACCCCAACGGGGTCTTGCCTCTTCCCACTTCCATGTCTCTTCCTGGACACCTACCTGGGTGGCCGTACACTTGCATCCTTATGCCAGTATCCGTTACAGTCACATCTAAGGTACTAAAGCTTTCACATCTTCCCCACTGAAGCTAACTTCCGTTGACCTGACTAAACTAACCCCAACTGAATCACTTGTATCTCTCTACACTCTCCTCTGTCTGAACTTCACGGTTTGTCCTGCAGTAATAATGACTTAGACTGAGACGCTGTAAGTTCAACAACAACAACATAGCCAGTTAAAATGCCCCTGCAAGTCTTTTTTTTTTAAAAAAAAACTTGAAAACTCTATTCACATTTAGCGAACTTTGAAAGCGAAAATCGTTTAAAACAAGTATTTCAAGTAATTTATAGACCCCACTTGACTGGATATAGGCCTGTTCGTTAAAATTATACCGAGTAGTTCATTTTACTCTGAAACCAAGAAGCTGGGGATAAACCAATAGGCTTCCCTCTATGGTATAGAATCTATATGTACCAACAGGCTTCCTTCTATGGTACAGAATCTATGTACCACAGGCTTCCTTCTATGGTACAGAATCTGTATGTACCAACAGGCTTCCCTCTATGGTATAGAATCTATACCTAGTTTTCTAACCAAAGTATTCAGGCAAGAAAATATCAGTAGCGAGCCAAATCTGCACTAACCAAGCTATATGGCTAAAGGAATTCACATGCATAGGTGTTGAGCAAGGAAACTAATTAGTTTAAAAAACCAAAGAGGTGGATAAGGATCTTAAAACTAGTTAAAAGTGGTGATGAAAACCAAAAAGCACAAACAGGACTGGAGAAATTAACCAGATTTTATCACCATCAGTTCTCTCCATTCGTATATGTTGCTGCTCCGCAGGCTGGAGAGGTGACATTTGCATTTTACAATGACAACAATGAAGATGACCAGGCACCAATTGTTACTTCTAGACTCAGAGAGCCCCTTCAGCTGCCTTAGTGTCTTACCTACTGAGGAGACCTGTGTCAAATTTCCTAGAAAAAGCAACAAATTCTAGACAAAGCTAGTGCACTGCCAATCACAGGAAAGACAGGCACAGGGGAGAAAGAGTGCTGATGGGGTGCTGACAGTGGTTCAAAGCTTATCTATAAAGAACAGTAAAAAGACAGAACAGCTTTTAAAAGAAATCCTATTATACCATTCCTTCCACTTTCCAGTACAATGTTGTTTTTTTCAAAATACAAATGAGGCGGGTGTGGCAATTAGACCTGAAATGTTAAAACCCTTCAGTTCAGGAGTCAGCAATCTCTGGCCTGCTGGCTACTTCTGTAGTGTGTCACAACATGGCCATGGACTATAGCTGTCTGCATTGTTCGAGAATGCCTGTTGTCACACAAAGTGTACAGGTCTTCAGCATAAACTCATGTACTATGTGACCCCAGACAACTGCTCAGCCCTGAGTTATCTAACAGTGGGATGAATTCAATCACCTATCTCTCGGCAGGCAGGCTGATGATGACAAGTTATCTTATCCCTCACACTTTGGTTCATGTTTCAAAAAGGAAAGAAAGCAAGCATCCAAGGGAAATACATTTAATTTTTTATTACTTTTTTAAAAATCCAGCTTCAGGTAAATTAACAGACTAGATTAGAACCTCAGTTGTATCTGATACATTATATACTGGATTTCTATTACTAAAAAGCCAGTTGGAATACGCCTACACAAACCCAGAGCGTATACAAAATGGAAGTGATATGGGCAATCACCGTGTCTTCCCACCTTTTGACTGTCGTGCTCTGTGGGGATCTGCAGGTTCAAGGTGAACAAGATGAGAAGCCCAATGACGTTTTTATAGAAAACTCTGCTGTCCTTCAGACAACCCTTTTCCTTCTTACATTTAGCTCTTACAGCACTTACAACCTCCAAAGAGCCTAGACTGACGGGGTGAGGGCAAGCACAGACTGCGCCTGCCTAGTCCACTAGAACTTCATTGTTAGCTTCTTTTACAGCAGCTGTGAAGGAACTTTTGACCTTTGCACACGGCACACATGGCTCCAGGAGGAACACTAATTCAGGAAACCTTCAGGCATGCTCACTGGAAAGGACTAGCACTTGCCCTCACCTGGACTGTAAGTCATACCGAATGTCTTCAAGTGTGTGCCACCCTTCTGTTCTTCCTTGTCTATAAAACTAGTCTAGTACTAAGTACACTTTCAAACAATCCTACATTTCCACTCCTCTGATCTCTTTTAACGCCTTGACTGCTAAAATATAGCTTAACTACAGAATTTTACATAATAGAAAACATGAACATCTGTGCTTCTGTAAATTAATACTCCTATTGCATGTTCCAATAAACCAATAGAATGAAGCACTAAGAAATGCTGAAATCTAAATTAAAACCCAGATGGAACTGCAGTGTACAGGTTTCTACATAAGGCTTTTGCCCCTAGAACTCATGTACAGAAGCCCTTCAGTATGTAACTACTCCTGAACAAATTACACTAATACACTTTTTCCTTTTTACATTTGTAAAAATTCAGGAAGTTTAAAAATAACATCTGCAAGACATTTGGCATAAAGTGATTAGTAGACATTTAGGACACAAATGCTTTATCAAAATGAGCACAATTTGTGGATAAACCCTTAAATCAAGTGGCTTTTGGAAGAACTGGAATTTGCAGCAACCACCTTTAGAAAAAGGACGACCCACCACCAGTGGGAAACACCAGAGCATCCCAGCCACGAGGTTCAGAGAGTACAAGACAATGATTCTAAGGGCATGGGGTTTCTCTGCAAACCAACACAGTCTGGAAGCCTAGACAGTATACTAGCACACTGGAGGTCCCTCTAGCCAGGTCAGTTCTACTCTTTCAAAACCTACTCTTGCACTTGGAGACCAGCATAGGATGTCAATTTCTAATGTAGTTAATTTTCAGGAAACATGCTTAAAGATACAAAGTATATTCTTAGTTTTTGATAGTATTCAAAGTGTCAGCTGACAAACTAAGCAGATGTTAGTAAATTAAAGATACAACATTAATGGAGTACAAAAGCTTCGCCTTCCAATTAACTTAGATATTGTTTGAATGATTCTATTAACTAAGAACTAGGGAGAACTAAGCCACCTGTGACCTATATCTTTTTCAATATATACATTTATATTGCCCCTCTGTGAAGTTATAAACCAATCAATACAAGTCTTTTTATAAATGAGCTTTCGAAGTAATTTATATTCACTTTAACGTATTTAAAATATTTGAAAATTACTTTTCATTGTAGACTTCAAAGAACTCCAGAGCTCTCAACCTAGCAGAAAAAATAGGTGCACCTGAAACAGCCATGTTCTCTGAAAACACTACATATTACCTCCAAGATTATGAGAAAAAATATTTTATTAAGACAAAAATTCACTATCTAGTTATATATATTCCATCAGACAAAAAGTGTTTTGCTTCATTTTAAAGAGTGATAGAGTGTCATACAGCAGAGGGTAGTGCTGAACTCACTCTGTAGCTGAGGTTAACTGGACTTCTGATATCTTCCTGCCTCTACCTGCTGAATGCTGTGACTGCAAACATGTCCTATCACACCCAGTTTATGCAGTGTGGGGGATCGAACCAAGGCTTTGTGTAAGCCAGGCAAGCACTCTACTGAGCTACACTCCAACCTGTAGACTAAGTGTTCTTATATTAAAAATACTTTATATGTTTAAAAGTTACATGATATAAACAAATAGAGCCTTTTAGTTTAAGATCATAAGGGCAGGTGAGAAAGATAAAATGTTAACAATTAGTAGGTGACATCGAACCTGAGATTCTGGCTTGAAGATGACTGACCACAGTTCATCACTTAAGGTTAAGAATCTAAACACCCTAAAGATGTCACATGCCTCAGTTAAAAACACAGAGTCCATCGATTTAAAAAATTTCTCATGTAACTATAAATGCATGAGTTTTGTTAAAGTTTAATACAGATGATTTGAGTCTTTCTAAAAACACCAATATACAGTATAGATTTGGGTATCTGCAGAGCAAAGTACTGAATCAGAAACTCAATAGTTCTAGGAAAACTTCACAATATGAGCAGATCCAGAAATTTTTGTGCAAATTAAAATAATTTGAGATTTCTATAGCCTTCATTTGTTCAGCCACTGAATGAGCTAACACTGTTAGCTTAGCCACTCATATTCCCTTCTATTTCACATGGCACAGCAATCCAATCAATGTTTATTTAGATTTGTATGTCACAATCTCATATAACGGGTTTATCACTCATAGTTTATCTGTAACTATCCATAGACAGGCTTCTGGACTTGCTTCTTCTTCTTCTTTTTTTTGGAACAATCTTACAGAGTAGCACATAACTCACAGAGTGGCCTATAACTTACTCTGTAGTCCAGTCCTTAAATTCATTACAACATTCTGTCTTAGCTTCCCTGGAGCTGGGATTATAGGCATAAACTACCATACCTGGCTCTGTGTTTGGGAATTTAAAGTGTGGGTCCTCTGTATTTGAAAAGTATACTTTATAGTGCATCAAAAAAATAATAATGGCATTCTATAATATTGCCTTTTGAGCAGGTACCTCCAAATTATAAACACATCTACTGTCACAAAACAATTTGGTCAGGAAATTTTATTTGAACATCTTAAAGCAATAATGCTTTAGATGTTACTTAAATGTCCCAGACAGGATTAACAAAATTAAATGTTTCTAAATTACAAATTTAGCTCCAGTAGGAGTTTCATAAAAGAAGAAAACAACCCCCTCCCAAAAGAAGTATGACACACACATTTTGAAGAAACCCCAATGTTTCATGCAATGGTAGGCAAGATGTAAAAGGCCACCCAAACCCACACATTTCTACAGCAATCATCATCCCAAAGAAGTCTTCCAGTCATCTGTACATCCAAATGCGTCCACGAGCCTACACCTACACGACATTATTAATGGTATATACACTTATGCCCCCCTTATTTTTTAATAATTTCTTATGTAAAGCCTTCATTGAAACCCCAAAAAAAGATGTAAGACTAACTTGGGGGGAGGGAGGGAAAGATAATCACTTTAGACATTCAGTTAAAATGTAATTTATCTAAATCTCCAAATGTTTAATAAAAACAAGTATCTTCTCCATTTAACACTTTGCTTTCTAACTGTACAGTAAATTGCATTATAGAGAATACACCTCTATTTTCATACTGTATTTTCTTTGGATGGAACTGAGATATAACTAGTTAATTTTAAGATAAATAAATGAGGTTGATCCAACTAAGATTAAGATGACAGCAGATATATTCCATGCAGAATTTAATAGTTTTTAATTTTGTTTAAAAAAAAAAAGATGCAATTGAGTGAAGGGACGAACAACAGCAGGTCAGAAAGAACCCAGGTTCAGTATATAAAAATGTCCCACAATAGATCAACAATGGCAGTAAAAATAAGAGAAAAAATAATCTTTCTGGAACATCATTTTTCAATAACATAGAAACACCAAGTGCCAGGAAGATTTCTACTCATGGAATTCTAGCATCCACGTTTCCCTCTAGTTCTTTTATTGAAACAAATGCTTTAAATAAACTATTTGTCCTCTTCACTGAAGAGAGCTGGTCTATTTCATCTTTAATGAGCTAGTTTGGGGAAGATTAGCCATGTACTGTAGTAATGCCTACTGCATAAAATCCAAGCATTTGCTGTGAACAGTTGGAGAAAGCAGTCAGTAAGAACCTAGGATCAATGGAAATAGATGTTACTTTAAGCCATCCATGAAAGAGACCCACGAAGTACCCAGTGTTCAGCCCAAATCTCTTCTTGCGCTTATTCTTCTTTTCTGTGCAAGTTCCACCCTCATGAAAGAGAAACTGATCCGAAGTTCCAGGTTGTCTCAGGTGTCTAGTCAATTTTCACATTAGTATAGATTTTTCGAACAAAGGCACTTGTTCCCATGTAACCAATTGCTCCTGCAAAAATAAAATAATGTATTTTGAAACAAATAGAGTAGGATCAGAGTCTGCCATTTACAAATATTAAATGTTCTCTGTTCTAGAGAGTTCTATTCCTTTTTCAGGGTAATAATGTCTTTATGTTAGTATTCTCTCTGAATTTCTTAAATGCTATTATTTGTTTTGCAAAGCATCTGTTATAGTCAAACCTCACTTGTTATTTAGAATTAAATCACAATTATTACTTGTATGGTCAGTAATTGTGGAATTAAAATGCAGCTCACAAAAGAAAGAGTGACTTGGTAACGACAAACCCAACCCATTAAAGCAATACTTTTTTTTTTTTTTTTTTTTTTTGAGACACAATCTTGCTATGTAGCCCAAGCTGTCCTTGAATTCTGGAACCTTCTGCCTCAGCCTACTGGGTGCTGGTATTAGAAGTGTGAATGATCAAAAAAAAAAAAAGAAGTGTGAATGATCATTCATGACAATATCCAGATGTTGTAATATCCAAAAACTTACAGAGCAATAAGAAGTAGAAAGGGGACCGGGCGGTGGTGGCGCACGCCTTTAATCCCAGCACTCGGGAGGCAGAGCCAGGCGGATCTCTGTGAGTTCGAGGCCAGCCTGGGCTACCAAGTAAGTTCCAGGAAAAGGCGCAAAGCTACACAGAGAAACCCTGTCTCGAAAAACCAAAAAAAAAAAAAAAAAAAAAAAAAGAAGTAGAAAGGGAGGCTTTGGGGATTGAGAGAAGCATGACCCCATGGTGTTATAACTCTAGAGAAAGATACTTTCTGGTGTCTCCTTTTTCTATATAAGTTATAAAAGCTGTAGAGTTGGCAGAAAGGATTACATACTTCAGGGAATGGACAAAAGAGACAAGTAAGTGGGTCAGGAGCTTTAAACTGTTGGCTTCAAACAAAAAATCTCAAATGGGGATCAAAATTTCAGAACAGGGCATGTTGTTAATGAAATATTTACCTTCTGTGTCTAAGAGCACCCAGCACATGAAAGTTACTCAATGATTATTTGTTGAGTAAGTTGAATGAACGGATGAATGAATAAACAAACTAAATAGTCTTCATAGACAAATATCTGGGACCTTTTCTTTCTTTCTTTCTTTTTTTCTTTCTTTCTTTCTTTCTTTCTTTCTTTCTTTCTTTCTTTCTTTCTTTCTTTCTTTCTTTCTTTCTTTCTTTCTTTCTTTCTTTTTTTAAACTTAGAGCCTTTTAGAATAGCTGATCAATGACCATTCTTCACTGGATTCCTTAAAAATTTTTAAATTACATCTTCCATGAGTTAATTGATAGTACACACACACACACAAATCTAACTAATCACTTTTCTCTAACAGTACTAGGGATTGAACCCAAAGTTTTTTTACAAGTTAGACAAGCACTCTGAGCTACACCCCCAACCATGAACCGATTAGTATTCACCAAACTGGTCTATCTCAAGGTAACAAAACAGATGAGGAAAAGATGACTCTGTTCATAAACAAATCTATGCTAATAAACAGGAATAAGTGTTACAATATTATAACAGCCAATGAATAACTATCAATGGCTTCTAACTTCCCACACATCACATGCCTCCCAATAAAAACCTACAACTATCTGTTGAAGGTTACTGTAGCTTGAACTGCTATTTCACAGGCAGTATGGAGGAGTGGAGAGGAACACGGGAAACATCTCAGGGATACGATCAGCCAAACCATGTGAAAAACTAAATCGGTATGCTGCACTCACTGTCAGTAACCTGTGCTGCTGCTAGACACCAGTATCTGCAGCAACATTCCAAGAACCGTCTAAGCAGAAATCATTCAGGCAACACCTTACACCCACCGACATTATAATCCTTTCCACTGATCACATACTTTAAAATGCCAATTCTCAACTGCATGCGGTACCACACACACTTGTAACCCCAGCTACCCAGGAGGCTGAGGCAGGAGGATCACTTGAGTCTAGAAGTTTAAGACTAGACTGAACAACACAGAAAGACAATATCAAAACAAGGCAATTCCCAACATGAATGAGAAACTAATCACAGTTAATTCTGTGGTCTGCAGTTATCATTAGAACAGCTACAAAAACAGAAATTAAACAACAGATCAGATTTTAAGGGAGAGTCAAAAAGACTGAAGACAAACTTTTGGATTCACCTTGGTGTTCCTGATAGAGCAACAGAACGGATTCCTTAATTTCTATTTAATTGTTATTGGGTGAGGCATGAATGGAGGTCAGAGAACAACTCTGTGGAATCAGTTCTCTGGATCCAGTTTTCAGGGGTCCAGGAATCCAACTCAGGCTTGTCAGGCTTGAGCAGAAAAGATTTTACCCACGGAACCACCCTGCCAGCCCAGAATTTCTTAATTTCTAATTACAGTGTTTCCTGAGTCTGAGATGCTGAAAATTTTTCTCATGAAGTTCCAATAATTTAAAAACTTACCACACATTATCCCCAAGGCTGTGCTAAATACCGCCATATATCCAAAGTAAAATGATGTTTGAAATAAGCCATACATCCTGCAATACAATAAAGTAATATTCAATACATACAGTTTACTTTCAATCTGATGCTTTACACTTTATCATTTAAAGGCAGTTTACTAGGTAACACATGAGAGAAAAACTCCACTTACTTTGTTTTGAAAAAATAGTAGTAAAAGGAATACATGTAAACATAGATTGCAGTTGATGCAGCAGAGAGAAAACTTGTCCATTGCCTGGAAAAAAAAAATGAAAAAGGATTATGTCTTTGAAAGGAATAGCACTCAAAATTTAAAGGCAAAGAATTTTACAAAAAAACATCCTTTAAAATTCTACATGCTTAAAAACAAATCCTTGTACCTGATGCTTAAATATTAACAAAGAGCCTAGGGAACTAGAAACGCCAGAGTCTTGTCACATTCTCTGAGGGACTTTAAATAAACCAATTCTCCCATTCAGACTTAAGTTTAAAACAAAGATGCTTCCTCACAAACCCAGCATCAAGCACTTTGCAGAAATATTTCAAATAGGACAAAAAAAACTTGGATTGATACCATTTTCCTATAAAATTTTCATTATATTTACAACTAGAGGGAAAAAAATCCCTCTACTATCTTTCTTATTCATTCATTTTATTTTTGGGTCAGAGTATTACTCTGTAGCCAAGTGTCTCCCCAGGGATAGGGTTACAAGTGTGCATTGCCATCCCCAGCTCCTCTATCATCTTAAACAGCAAAATTTCTGTGGAAATTCTTTCCTCAGCTTAACAGGCTTCAAAGGCAAACTTAAGATACTAGGATCCTGCCTGGGTGTGGTGGCACAGAACTTTAATCCCAGTACTTGGGAGGCAGAGGCAGGTGGATATCTGTAAGTTTGAGGACAGCCTGGTCTATATAGCGAGTTCCAGAGCTACATAAGAGATCCTGTCTCAAAAGACAAAAAAAAAAAGGTATTAGGCTTCCGAGAGGTTGCACCTGCAAGTACTTACCACCTATAATCCTCTGCATTTAGCAGGAAGTACGTGCACACGATGGTCACACAGACAGTCACTATGCACAGGATGACCAGCACCAGCATCATGAAGCCGTAGACATAGTAGATCTTATATGCCCAGAAAGACGTGAAGATGAAGTACCTGAGGAGAACACGAGGACAGCCTTGAAGCTTCCTCTCTCTCTTAGCTCTCACTCTGACTTCACTTAAAGCTTGTTATCATCTTTCTAGTAATTTCCAACAGTTTCTCTTAACTCCTAGTTATTAAATTCTCAAAATATTTTTGTGGTTTGTTTTTTAAAGAACAAATTCTTCTGGAGGCATTTATCGCTGAGCAAAATGACTAAATTAGAAATTTAAACAAGTTAAAATGTGGAAAATGAGAATCTACATTCATAAAATAAAGTCAATTCCTTCATTCTTCCATTTTTTAAGATGAAACACTACTCAAGTAATATATTTCACATTTTAGAAAACATTCTGTTAAACAGAAAAATAAGTGATAAACTGAGAAAAATACAGAATTAGGAAAAAGCCCAGAAGTCAAGGTCTAAAGGAGACTGACACTGTCTTCAGAGACAGTGGGAGAAAGGAAGAGTAGTAATACTCTTCCTTAAGAAGAAAAAAGGAGAACCTCTTTAAATCCATTCATTATTCAAGTCATCCTTAACGGAGAACAGGGTCTTCTAGCTCTTTTTACAACATTCCTGCTTTGTAATTCATTTATTCAATCACATGCCTGCATGGTTCAACAACGATTTACAGATCCCTTGTCACATAGGAAAGTGACATAGGAAGGTTTGGAGGGAAGAGAAGGGGGAATGATGTAATTATATTACAATCTCAAAAAATAAAAAAGCTTTTTTTTTTTTTTTTTTTTTTAAAGTAAGCAAGCAAGCAGTAAAGATCAGCACTGTAAGGAAACATCACTACTCTCCAGGAGATCGCTGGCTGGTAGGAAACCCTGGCAGTAAGACAACCCTGACCCCTGATGTGCACTATACCCAGCAAGTGCGAGGAGTGATTCCTCTGGTACAACTAGATGAAGGAGTGAAAACAGGAGAAGGCTCGTGAGTGAGGCGGGGAGCAGGAGAAAGACTTGTGATGGATAACACCAGGAGCAGAGGACTGGTTCTAAGTAAAGGAACTCAGTAAGTAAAACAAAGAAAACCACAGAGATTGCTCAGAGTTTAAAAGCACTGGCTGCTCCTGCAGAGGACCTGAGTTTGATTTCCAGCACCCACATGACAGCTCACAACCTCGTAACTCCAGTTCCACGGGATCTGACACCCTCTTCAGGCCTCCATAGGCACCAGTCATGCACATGGTGCACACATAATGAATGTAGGCAAGTACTCATACACATAAATCTAAAAACAAAACAAAAGAAAAAACCCTCAAAATGTTCAGCATGGCTATAACGTCAACAAAAGGGCAAGAGCTAAGAGAATCAACATGATCAGTTCATTCTATAAACAACCCAGCTGGTCACATCATGAAAGTAGTAGCATTTCATCACATTGAGATTCAAACTCCTTAGTGAAAAATGACACAAAGAGACTGAAAGGTTAAAACATAGAAACAAAATAAATACAAATAAAATAAGCCTAGACTGACAGGTTAAAAATGCCATTCCAGGAGGACAGGATATGAGAAAACCAAAACAGACATGACTTGAAAGAGCAGAGGAGTCTAATGGAGAGAGGGCCGAGGGAGCAGGAGTAAGTGGTCAAGTCAGAGTGAGGACTATCAGCTGCAGGTAGAGTTCCTGAACTGGCTTTATTAAACAAGTCAGAGTGACCCACTCCAATCTCCTTCTAAGACCCACCAAGGCTTGCAGTATACTCACAGCTAACACGTGATGAAAGACAACTACCTATTTATATATTTATACACACGAGTTGTGCTGGTTATGCTTTTTGTCAACTTGACACAAGCTAGAATAATCTGGGGAGAGGGACCTCAACTGAGAAAATGCCTCCATCAGAGTGGCTTGTAGACAAGTCAGTGGGGTATTTTCTTGTTTAATGGTGGACTTGAGAAGGCCCAGACCACGCAGGCAGTGCCATCCCTGGGCAGCTGGTGTCGGGCTGTATAGGAGAACAAGCTGAGCAAGCCACAGGAATAAGTCAGTAAGAGGTTTCCTCTACAGTCTCTGCATCAGCTCTTGCCTCCAGGTTCCTGCCTTGACTTCCCTTCATGATGTACTGTGACTTGGAATCCCTAACCCTCGAAGTTAAATAAAATTATTCATTTTAAAAAGTTAGCAACCTCAGTACTTCATTATAGCAGTACAAAATTGACTCCAGAGAGACTGCCTTGTCTGATGATTCCACACCAATCCAGCATGTTCAAATTCTTAAATTCTTCAAAACATGAAAACATTGCCCAAACTTACATTTCAATAAAGATTGAGCCAAAAGGTAAAATTCCTCCCAGGCAAACAATAACTGCAGGCTCCATAAACCTGGAAAACATTAGAATTAACAGAGTACTTTTAGCATGATTTTCATAATATATATATATATATATATATAAATCCCAATAATAAAAAGGTGATGTTTAATACTTTAAAAATCATCCCAATGAATAAAGACACATGAATAAAAAGAAAAACCAAAATCCAAAAGAGGCATAAAAATGTAAGACTTCAAATTAGTCATCAGTTGAAATCAATATTCTTTTCAGCATTAAAGCCTGAGTAAAGTATTTAAGGAACACAAATTGTTGTTACTGCAGAACAAGAAACACATTAAGTATTTATTCCGTTTACCAGTTTTCAGTAACTTCTGAGAACTCTGTAGGTATCTACTTACAGAAATTCAAAGGAGAGAGAGAGAAAGGAAAAGAGAACAAAGTTGAGACCCTTATCTGAAACAAATTTACATAAACTAACCTTGCCATTTCTTTACCCGCTTTCTTCTTGGCTCTAATTCTTTTCCAAAAATTCAACAATCAAGGTATTGTCAATTTTGCTTTACAATAGGGCAAAGAAAGACTAAAAAATACAACGCAAACTTCATCCCTTCTCCCAGCCAACATTCACTGAGTGACAATCATCAATTCTCTATCTGGAATGTGTCTCTAACTTCCTGTTCTCCTTCCAGCAAGCATGGCAGCTCTCAAAGCCTTCCCTCCCTTTGTGTCTCAGGGAGACATGGCTCCCCGCTCCCGCCCCCATCCTCTCACTGACTCCTCAACATCCCTCCACACAGAACTTCCTATACTTTATCTGTCTGCTGACCTACATCAGGTGCCACTAATTAGACTGCTGGCCAGCAGATGCAAACTGGGGGGGGGGGGGGGGGGGGGGGGGGATAGAGAGAAAAAACAAACTTAAAAGTCATTTACTATAATCTTCCTTGTTTTATAGAACACCAAGGTTCTGAGATTAAAACGGATCTATTCCAGGTAACCATCCAATAAAAGCCAGATCTAGTACTCAGATTTTGGTTCCCATATGATTAAAAAACAACAAGAAAATGAAGCCACACACCAGCCTCCCTATACCTAAAAGACCTATCTCTGGTAAACAAAGCATGTGTTGTTCACACCTCTCCTCACTAACCCTACTTCCCAAAGAGCTTCTGTGCTTCCTGACTAGGCTTTTCCTTCCTCTCTCTCTAGTAATAAGCTGAACATGAGTAATTAATGAGCCCTAGTATCTAATACTGATTTAGGGGAAAAGCAGCTTAAAAAATGGACTCAAAACTCTTCAGTCCAAAGTTTCTTAGACACCAATCTAACAAAGAAAAGCACACAACAATTCCTAAAACTAGAATATGTTACTCTCCCCTAAATCAAAGCTCTTAGACTGGGAATCATACAACTGAATGCGTAGGTTGTGAAAACTTCAGCAAGAGTAAAAGATTTCTGAACATTCAATAACCAAAAATTAATTCAAAATCGAGCATACATGAACCCAAGGTGTTTCTGGCAGTGCTCGCCCGTGTCACACTGTAGAACTTCACTGACGCCTTGGTCCTGAACACTTGCATGTGTATGCCTTGATGCCATGCAGCACTGACCAATGCTATCTGAAACACAGCTCTGATTCGAGCTACTGTGTTACAAACTGCAATGTTTACTATCCCTACAAAGTTTGCTGCTTATAGAAACGAAACGGTTTAATGATAGAAAATAAAGACTTTTAATACTTTTCCTATTATTTCTTAGCGGAGAAGTATCAAATTAATATATTTCTGGATTATTTTGTGTTCAAATATTTCATTACAAGTGGTCTCAATTCATTTATCAACTGGTGGATTTATGTGGGAATAAATGGGCCAATATTTAGAATAAAGTATCTGGAAAGAAAAAAATTATAAACAAGTAGTTGAAAGATTTTTCTATAATTCAGAGGGTTTCAGATTTTGCTGGTGATACAGTCTCTGCTGTAACTATTGCTCTGTCAACTCTGATGCTGGAGAGTAAAAGAAGCCATAAGTAGTAAGTGAAGACTGGATATGGCTGTGTTCCAATAAAACTTTATTTACAAAAACAGGCAACAATAGCTGAGCAGTGGTGCCACACGGCCTTTAATCCCAGCACTCAGTCTACAGAGTCAGTTCCAGGATGGCCAGGGCTACACAATCTCCAAAAAAAACAAAACAACCAAAAAAAAAAAAAAAAAAAAACAACAACAACAACCAACCAACCAACCAAGCAAACAAAAAAACCCAACAACAAAAACAGGCCAACAGCCACATCTGACCTGCAGGCTTAAAAAACTGTTAAAGCTTTACTTCCCACCCACCTCCATACACTAGTACATTTATCAAAGTTTTGACATATGAACGGCACCAATATTCAGAAAACAAAATAAAGACATAGCTTACTATATTCTTTACAATGTAGGCTGATGGCAAAAATTAAAATGAACCAACTCTTACACTTAAAACAGTTGTTTGCATAAAAGCAAGCTGCTTCTAAAGTTATGCGTACACAACAGCCTTAAAAACTTAATACACTACGACAACAACCAAATGAGCTTTAGCGTTCTCTTTACCATTTTTTCTCCGGGATAGGACGAGGCACAGCATTGACACGACAAGGGAAGTTGGGCTGACCTGACAGATTCCGGCCAAGTATTGTACCAACAAGATTTAGAGGAAGAATAACAAAAAAACAGATGCAACAAACGGCCACCTGTAAATTAAATAGAAATGTGTGTGGTTACTCAGAGAACAAAAACACTAATTAGAACAAGTAAGAGAGACACCTGAAAATTCAAACACACTTTAATTACAGAGAAAACATTAAGTTCTAAGGAGTAAAATGGTACAAGGAATGCACTACTGGTAACGGGAAAAAATGCTCACACTGAATCACACAAACACTGAACTGTTCCCTCCCCACCTTTAGCTCCCACTGTCCCTAACCTTCCACACTGTCCCTAATCAAGTACGTTTTAGATCTCTTTCCCTGTCAGCTGACATGCTTTTAACATGTCTACCCCGTATCTTTCATTATTATAACCAAGTTATTTGGTTTTACTTTATTGAGCATTCCAACCAATGGATCCTATAATCCAGGTACTGCCAACTCACAGATCTAAAAACCCTGTTTATTGTGTCCAGAGAGTTTCAACATGCTAGTTCATAACTCTCCATCCTATTTCTTGGGTTATTTCAGTTCTATAAAGAGATACTCGCCTTGAAATGAAAAATGTGCTACAGAAAGCTAGCCTTTCTAGAAAAAGACACTATAAAAAAAAGCTACAGGTCAGCATTTCTCATAAATACAGATATAAACCAAATCTTGCAAATGGAGCTTTAGTAAAGAAATACAGGACTAACTTAAGACCAGTGCTGGTCACCACCATCTCAAAAGATGCAAGAAAAAGCTGCTGTAAAACCCAACATCCATTTCCAACAGAAACTCCTAACAAACCAGGAACAGCAGGGCTTTATCAACCTGAAGGAAAGCATCTAAGACACAAAGCTGAATACCCTCCCCAACCTGGCCACGCCTGTGCTTGACATGTCCACTCAAACATTTCACTTTAAAGCAGTGTGTACCCAGGGTTACCGTATAAGGCAGTTTAATGAAGGAGGAAATCCCCATGCCCGCCATCTCCATCCGTACCCATCTATGGCTGTGCAGCCACCAGGAGCCACTCCAGAAGTGCTGCAGCCAACAGAGGGTGCTGTGTGCACATAAAACCTCTCACATTTTCTCAGGGTTTCAGAAATGGAACTACACAATTTCTAAAAGACAACATACAAGCACAGCTTGCTGCTGTTTAGTCTGGCAAAAGACTCTCTCTATAGGATAGTTATAAGGACAAACTAAAAAAGGGGGAAGAAAACCTATCAATGCACTGCTCTTCAAAATTAGTAACTTTGCCTTAAATAGAAACTCTTGAGAAAATTAAAAGATAAGCCATAAAATAGGAGAATATTACTGCAAAAATACTTTAAAGACATAGGACTTCTATCTACAATGTATAAAAAACTCCTCTCATCCAATAAGGTACACCCACTACAAAAATAAGGGCAGGTAGTTCAGTGGGTATAAGGTGCCTGCTGCCAATCCTGATGACCTGCATTTGATCCTGGATGATCCTTGACACGGTCTTCTTCCCACAAGCTGTCCTCTCTAAGCTTTACCTACACCTTGGGAGGAGCATGCCCCTCTCCCCACCACACACACACACACACACACACACACACACACACACACACACACACACACAGAAACAGCTGCCTGTGGTGGTTCATGCCTTTAATCCCAGCACTCAGGAAGTAGAGCCAGATGGATTTTTGTGAGTTCAAGGCCAGCCTGGTCTTCATAGTGAGTTCCAGGACAGCCAGGGCTGTGTAAAGAGGCTCTCTCTTGTCGGGGAGAAAAAGGAATAAAATAAAATAAAAGAGGCACAAAAGATTTTCACATTTATTAAAGAAGATGCATACACAAATAAGCAATCTACCCCCCCCCCCACACACACACACACATACACACACAAAGCCTTCAGTGTGACTGATAAGTCAACAAGTAAAATGTAGGACCACTACACCCTGACTGGACGGGCTAAACTGAAGAAGACTGACTGCATCAAGTGTTGGAACTGGTACAGAAAACTGTTTGTGTATGGGTGTTTTGCCTACATGCATGCCTATGCACCACTTGGAGAAACTCATTTTGATAGAAAGGGAGAAAAAAATACAAACAACAAACCCAATGAACAAAACCCCATCTTCACCACTAACAACACAAAACAGAAGAAATGTGACTGGGCCAATTACTACACAAAACCCTTGGGAGTTTACCTCTATGAAACAGATAATTATCCCCACTCCCCAATTTCTATTTAGTTCTTTTGAAAACTAAATACGATAATAGTTATGAAAACACCATGAACTACAAAATATGCTGCCCCCATCAGATTGAATCTCTTTAGATCTCAAACATCAATCAGATGAGCTCTTAGACACATACTCTTCAGCACTCCATAGTGTCAGAACTGAGAGCGTCTCTCAGTCTATGCAGTGTGTGCTGCTGCACTGTACCATCCCAATGCTCTGCAGCTGCTCAGAGCCTCATTACTATGACTCTGGTCACATTTCTTTATCTTGTCCAATAGGACGCCATGTTTACTTATGCTGTTGTGTTCTTCTAGTTTTCTAAAACCTACTCAAATTGGGAAATGATGGTGTTCTAGCCATTTTTTCTTTAATGAATTTCACACTAGCTCCTAATGCTAATTGCTTCCATCCTTTAAAAAATTAATAACCAATTCTAAAATTTTGTGCCTCATCAATATAAATGAATCCACCACATTTTGCAAAGTAGAATCTACTTTCTTTTTTCCCTAGAAAAAGAGATTTGGGTCCAGTTTCACAAACTTCTCTCTCTGCTCTGTAAGAAAACATGCACATGAGCAAAGACACTTTGGACTGAAGTAGCTGAGAACACCCACACAATCAAATATATAATCTGGCTTAAACCTCACTTCCTTCTCATCAAAGAATGCTCCCTTTCACTTTACTTGTACCAAAGTTATTTGATGAAAAAGAACAAGAATGGAACCACTCTTCTGTTCCAATTCTGATCCATGTTCTGAGGCTTTTGGAGTATTTTTAAAAAATGCATTTGTTTACCCTGTCTTTATTCAAGTCAGCTCAGGTAATGGAGGGTTTTTTTGTTTTGTTTTGTTTGTTTTATTTTTTGAGACAGGGTTTTTCTGTGCAACAGTCCTGGCTGTCCTGGAACTCAGAGATCTGCCTGCCTCTACCAGTCAAATGCTGTGTATGCCAACAGCACCCAGCTAAGGCAATGGAGCTTTTCTAGCAGTGTTTTCACAAATCTTCTCTCCTGGGTACATGTATCACTTGGGTATTCTGTACTCTTCTGACTGCTTTTAAGATGCAGCTTTCTAGTCCTCATCATAAAGTGCTATTACCTTCGTCTCCATCTTTTCACATGGTAATTTCTAATTATGTATCATGAGTTTCCCATTTTAGAACTTCAGTTCTCAAGTTAGTTTTTTTTTTTCCCCAGTTACGGTTCAGGCCTTGAGTCATGGTGTGAAATTGATTTCTAAAGCTTATGGCATATTTCTGACCATGCTCAATATTCCCCTCCTCAACTAAAACAAGGCCTCAAAATGACAAACTAACACAGACCACCCATTACCTTCTCAACTATTCTATCCCCTCAGAGACAAATCTTAGAGAATCCAGGATTTATGGGTGCATGCTGAGCTGAACATTGTTTAGAGTAGAAAGGTGATTAATTAGGTCTCATGATACTCTGCAATTTTTTAACTACAACTATGTTTCTTTCAAAGCCTCTACTACCAAATTTAGCATCTGAGACTTACAGCTCACACAAGATTTCATATTTACAATCCTTTCTCAGAACACCCTGGTAAACCTGTCCTGTCCCCATTCTCAAGTGATATGGTTTAGGTATGAAACATTCCCCCAAAAAGTCTCTTGTGGTTGAAGCTGTGGTTGGTCCCTAGCTGGTAGAGTTAACAATAACATGATCTAATCACCTTGATCATGAGAGCTCTGGTCCAATCAATACATCAGTCCACTAATGGATTAATAATTTGCTAGCAATGCTGATAGCTAAAAGGATGTAGTTCAGGGAAGAGTACTTGCCTAGCATTTATAAAGCCCTGGATTTGATCTCACTTTGATGTTTTGAAAGAAAATGGCCCCCAAAGCAAGTGGCACTATTAGGAGGTGTGGCCTTGTTGAAGTAGGTATGACCTTGTTGGAGAAAGTGTGTCACCACAGGGACAGGCTTTGAGGTCTCTTTTGCTCAAGCTTTGCTCATTGTGACACTCAGTCTACTTCCTGTTGTCTGCATATCAACATGAAGCAGCTCCTTCCCCAGCAGACCTTCCCCAGAACCATAATTGCCTGAACACCACCATGTCCCACCATGATGATAATGAACTAAACCTCTGAACTGTAAGAGAGCCACCGCAATTAAATGTTTTCCTTTATAAGTGTTGTCATGGTCATGGTGTCTCTTCACAACAATAGAAACCCTAACTAAGACATCCACCAAAGCAAAAACAAACAAAAAAACATCAAAACACTGTGTGATGAAATAGAAGAGAGGCAGGGCCTACTTGAAAGAAGCATGTCACTGGGGCATGTCCTTTGGTGCTATCTCCCTGGTTGCTCTGTTGCTACTTCCTGGCTGCCATAAAGCAAACAACTCTGTTCCATGACAACCTTCACCATGAGCTCTGCCTCACTACAGGTCTAGAAAACAGTATAGCTGGCTGACCATGGAAGGCTCTGAAGTCACCAACCAAAATAAATTCTTCCTCCCTTCAATTGTTTTCTCAGGTATTGTGATTAACTGTGATGGTCACTTTTAATTATCTACTTGAGACAATCTAGAATAACCTGAGAATAAAGTCTCCATGAGAGATTATCTAGATTACACTGGCCTGTGGGCATGTCTACAGCAGACTGTCTTGATTACACTGATTAAGGTAAGACCCACCCACTATGGGTGAAACAATTCCTTAGGTAGAACATTCTTTTTTTGTTTGTTTGTTTGTTCCATACAGGGATTCTCTGTATAACAGCTCTGGCTGTCCTGGAACTCCTTTGTAGACCAGGCTGGCCTAGAACTCACTAGAGATCTGCCTGCCACTGCCTCCCAAGTGCTGGGATTAAAGCATGTCCAGTGGTAGAGGATTCTTAACTGTACTAAATGCTAAATGTGGGGAAAGAGAGCTAGCGCTAGCATACATGCATTAATTAGTTCTCTGCTCTTGACCTTGGATATAACATGACCAGCTATTTGAAGTCCCTACCTCCTTGGCTTCCCCCACAATGATGGACGGTAACCTGGAACGTGAGCCAAATAAACCTCTTCTCTCTTAGCTGCTTTTGTCAGGATACATTATCATAGCAATGGGAACAGAACTAAGACACTAGTACATCAAGAAATTCATAGGACCAAAATCCCTGTGTGTAGATACTTAACTCATTAATGAACAAATTTACCAAAGAAAAAGGTTCAGCCTTCCCAAAAATCAATTTAATTTCAAGTATTCTCTCCCACTGTCTGTAGTATCACTGCCACAACATTCCAACTTCAGGGGCAGGTATTTATCTTGATGGTTTGACTCCAAATTTCTTTTAAATGGTTTCCTGCATCTTGTAAATATTCTCTTGAAGGACACTAGACTTTATAGTCTTACCATAAACTTCTACTAATGTTTATGAAACGTCTAGGACTGATTATTGTAAAACAAGTTTAATCTAATAATAAGTTTTGTGGTTCTTTATACAATCAGGTACACATGAATAGAAGCTGGAGTCCAAAGACAATGTACTTTCAATCCCACCTCAAGCTAGTCCTGATAACAGCAATATTTGGACTGAAATCCAGATTCCTGGTAAACAAAACTCCTTACTTACCTATTACTTTTAGAGAAGCAAGAAGCTTGAAGTCACTAAAGTTAGGTTAGCTGTCAGTTGTGGGAACTTCGTTAAGATGGAGAATTAGCATTGATGGCCCTCCAGAGAAAGGATTCATGATAATGAACTGGCAGAAAGAGCTAAAGCCTTGGGAAGAGCACACAGGAGGACCTCTAGACTGATTTTCAAACTAAGCTATTCAGTTAGTAGGGCATCTTGCTTCTCAGAAACACAGTGCCTATGGTCTAGATCAATAGTTCTCATCCTTCCTAATGCTGAGACCCTTTAATACAGTTCCTCATGTTGTGGTGACCCCCAAGCATAAAATTACTGTGTTGTTACTTAAATTTTACTACTGTTATGAATTGTAATGTAAATATTTGATGTGTAGGGTATCTGATATACGACCCCTGTGAAAGGGTCATTCAACCCCCAAGTGGAGTACCGATAATCTAGATGGTCCTCAGGGAAGTTATTTCCTCAGGGTCTGCACACACAATCTGTGGTCCAGAAGAGATCAAGGCTGCCCATCAGGCCAGCAGCAGAACTTACCATACAACATTAAAGTGTATCCAACATGGTACTGGGTTTAAAGGCATGAAGGGGTCATGGAAAGTACCTGAAGTTTGGCACTGTGTGTCAGGGTCAGGGTATCCCTGAAGAGAGCCAAGGAGAGGGCATTGGTGAAAACACAGTCCCACTGCTGTGGAAACCCCAGAATTGAAGGGGCCATGGAGAAAAGTTGAGGCTTAGCACTATGTGGTAGGGTTAAAGTCCCTAAAGAAGCCAGCAGAGGCCACTAGTATAGGTACAGCCTCAGTATTGAGCATACCAGAGACATTCACCAGAGAGAGCAATCAGCAAGTGTGGAATGGACCTGCCTGAGGCCACAAGACAAGCTGTGTGTGTGTGTGTGTGTGTGTGTGTGTGTGATAATGATGATGTGTGTTGGCAGGGTGGGTGGTGCTATCAGGGAAAGGAGGAAGTGGAACAGAGCTATAATCTCTAGATCACACCCCTAGCCCTTCCTCCCAGGTCCCCTTGATTAAACACTGGGAGCTTCCCTGTGACCTACCCAGTGGTTATTTAGGGTTCCCTTTCCCAAACCTAAGCAATAAAAGGGCAAATGTGTCCCAACAACACTCATGGACTCTCCAAGGTAAGTGGCCTAAAGTCTCATACTCTTATCATATCGTCCTGTGAACCAGTGAAATGCCTAAGTGGTGAGTGAATTCCCCTGATACACTGACTTTCAGCATGTGTGTGTGCATTCTGTGAAGGGCAGAGCTTTCCAGCTTGGAGCTGCCCAAGCCGTTTGTAGCCCATAAATTGTGAGTCACAGATTCTGGACACTGAGCTACAACATTTGATTTATACTGCTAGATTCAAGATTTTGCTTTCATCTGGTTGTTCCTATGCCCTGATTCTCTCTTTTTGGAACAAAAATAACATGATCTTGATTTTATGGGAGCCTACAGTTAAGAGATTGGGTTTTAAAGTGATGAATTTTTTAAAGAGAAAACTTTTAAAGGTATACTGTACTTTATATTATAATAGCAATAAGGTCTTGGGGAACAAGAAGGGAAAGGTTATGATTTAAAGTGATATATTTGTGTGTCAAAGATGACAAAGAGTAGAATCTGAGTAGAATTTCATTGCTAGCATCAGTTGATCACCTGACACACTTGGGAAGAACCAACCTCAACCGAAGAACTGTAACCATCAGACTGGCCTGTAGGTATACCCGTGGGGCATTTTCTTGATTGTTAATTGATGTAGACATGCCTAGACCATTGTAGACAGTTGGTCTTGGGATGTGTAAGAAAAATAGTTGAACATGAGCCCAGAAGCAAGGCAAGAAGTAGCACTCCTGCATGGTTACTGCTTTAAACTCCTACCTTGAGATCCTACTCTGGCTTTCCTTAATGATGGGTTATAATCTTAAAGTCAAATAAACCCTTTTTCCAAGTTGTTTTTGGTGTTCTTTTTTTTTTAAGTTTTTTTTAAAAGATTTATTTATTTATTATGCACACAGTGTTCTGTCTGCGTGCATGACTGCATGGCAGAAGAGGGCATCAGATCTCACTACAGATGGTTGTGAAACCAATCATGTGGTTGCTGGGAATTGAACTCAGAGCCTCTGGAAGAACAGCCAGTGTTCTTAACCTCTGAGCCATCTTCCCAGCCCTTGGTCAGTGTTTTATCATAGAAACAAAAAAGCAAACTAGAACACATCACCTTAATAAAACACTCATGCTTCTTGGTATTTTTTTTTCTCTAAAATAAATCCATTCATTCACTAGTTCTCTCCCTTATCTGATAAAAGCTGTAAAATCAACTTTTCACTTCACAGAATCAAGAAAATGTAGGGACCTAGGTTTAAATTTAACCAATAGTTTTTGGAACCTAATAAAAACTTTCCAAGACTCAACAGGGACTGGCTGAAACTTGAGGAGCTCTAGAGAGACAGCAGGACTTGTACTAGAATGGTTATAAGCACCCTGTTTCAAATTCCAGTTCAAGCCACTCACCATTGTTCCAAAAGGAATGGCTCTAGAGGCATGGTAATAAATGGCTATGAAGTTGATGAAGAAGGCAGTTCCACACACCATAGCTGGAATGAGGAACGCCCCGATAAACATCTGCTTTATCCATCTCCTTCCTGAAAGAAAAGGGAAGCTGTGAGAAATTCGAGCTACACAGACAAACATGCATTCATGTTTTAAAATATATTCTATAGTTCCAAATTATTTACTTAAAAATTCAATACAGCCAGGCTGTGGTGGCACACGCCTTTAATCCCAGCACTTGGGAGGCAGAGCCAGGCAGATCTCTGTGAGTTCGAGGCCAGCCTGGTCTCCAAAGTGAGTTCCAGGAAAGGCGCAAAGCTACAACAGAGAAACCCTGTCTAGAAAAACCAAAAAAAAAAAGATTCAATACAAAGGTTACTAACCCTGATATACTAATAACTGTTTCAAATCAACTATCTAAAAGCTAGGCTAGCTCTTCAAGTCTGTGTGGTAGAGACAGTTTATAAAGTAGCTGGACTGAAAAGAGCAATGACCTGGGGTGTAATAGTCTGACGTCTTTGTTCTGATTCTGCCACAGACTATCCTGAGCTTTTGTATGCCATCTGTTATGGTTTGGATATACAGCTAATTGTTTTTCTAGTTCTAATTCTGTCAGAGATTTTTCATTTTAGGTGGTGGAATTACCATCCCAAATCTTAAAATTCCTCCAAAGAAACTCAATTCTCAACTTTTTCTTCTAGTTCATTTCTTTTTCACAGAAGATTCAAGAACGCTTCCTTTCCAATTTCATTGAAATCACTTATAGAAAGAGTGACAACTAATTAAAGTGAAACTACTGTTCTTTATTTTATTTATTTATGGTTTTTCAAGACAGCATTTCTCTGTGTTCCTGGCTGTCCTGGAACTCACTCTGTAGATCAGGCTGTCCTCGAACTCGCAGAGATCTGCCTGGCTCTGCCTCCCGAGTGCTGGGATTAAAGCCATGTGCCACCATCGCCGGGCCCTGTTCTAGTATTTTAAATGACAACTCCATCCTAACATCGTCCTTCCCTGTACACTGCATTTATCCTCTCAGTTGCAGACACATACAAATGAAACTCTTCTCTACTTCTAGTTCCCTCTGGTCCACACATATCTCACTGGATACAATCAGTTGCCCAGGCATCTGTGCTGTGCTTCCTGCTGCTCCTCAGGCCTGTGGAGACTCTGGCCAAAGACCAGGCTCTCCCCAGGGAAATGATCTGGAGCCCCAGGATAAAGCAAACCTGAGACAAATGAGATAGTCTCAGTTCTCTGAGTTGACATCTCTATTAACTTGAATTTTCAGGGATTGTTCAGACAAAATTATCTACACCAGTCTAGATCAGAACACAAAACAGACTAAAACTGTCCACATTATATCTAGTAAAACCTACAACATAAGCAATGGTAAACATGGCCATCCAGGAGGATTTCAAATGATCCTCTGCTCTGATTTCCTACTACCTATAAAAGTTTCCTCCACGTTTCTGTACTATTCTTGAATTTGTGACAGTCCTGCTGACTCAGCCTTCAAAGTACTGGGATCACAGGTATGTGCTACTGTGCCCAGCCCTATCCTGCTCTTAGGAGACTGCTGAATGTATACAAACATACATATATATACAGACAGACAATATAATACAATACAAGGCAGGATCTCCTAATGATGACCATGTTTAGATAGACTGGAAAATAATCAGAGTAGACTGTCTCTATACTTAGAGACTTGAGGTCTTTCAAAAACTTTTCAGTCCTAAGTGAAAAATATGCAGATTTATCAATGCAAGAACCTTTCTGACTCTACAGGATTACAGGAAGAGTGAAGAAACTTAGAGACTCAGAACATCTCCACAGAAAGAAGCACCACCATGTATCACCTTCAGTTTGGGGGTTACTAACAGCAGAGGAGCAAAGAGGGTATTTAAGATAAAATCTTTTCATCTGAGAGACTGTGACACAAAATAAGAGAAATCTTTGTGAGGAGTCCTTTGATTATACTGTAAGAGATAACAGTATCTGCTTCCTAATACCCTACCATTGTCCATGAGCTTTATCCATAAACCATAAGTATCCATAAAACATACTTTCATAGTCACCCATAAAAAGTAACTTTATGGATGAATATAAAGGCAAGCTCACCAGGTGCACATCTAGGGAGCTAAGTACCTCGAAACATAATAATAATAATGTAGATGTACTCTTGTACATGTTCTTTGGTGCTAACTTCACAATGGAGACATTCTATTAATTATTCATAATTTCAGGAAATAAAACACAAAGGTTCCATAAAAACAAGATAGAAAACATAATAGATTTGATAGAGGCTATATGCATGATATAACAAAGGCCTTTACTATTTGTACAACCTATACTGCCCATTTTAAATTTCAAATACATCACAGTAGAAGAATACAATCAATAATTATAGATTCAAGAGTGCAAACTCCTAACTTACCTCCCTGTCTAGCATACAGACTTCCTCCAAAATACCCGTTCACTGGAGACGTAGCAGCATAGACAAATATGGCTGTACTGAGCATTGAGCCCCTCCTGCAAGGCATAAAAATATGTATGATAAATTAAAAAAAGACAAAAACATGGAGTCTGTCCCCTTAGCATTACTTTAGTATCAAAGATCTATTTAGCAGAAAGAGAAAAACATCCTATCATGGATTGCAAAAGACCATAAAAGAATTCCCAGTCAAAGGTGAACTTAAATGTTCCAAGTCGTGTCTAGTCCCCAGGTGATTTGTAATACAGTCTAAATCAACACTTCTCATTTCTTTGGCACCAATGACAAGCTGACACTAAAACTCTATTTATAACTCTATACAGCAGTTCCATCACATGGAACAGGATATTCTCGGTTGAAAAAAAGATACCAGAATATTCCTTTTTTTGTTTTTGTTTTTGTTTTTGTTTTTGTTTTGTTTTTCAAGACAGGGTTTCTCTGTGTAGCTCTGCGCCTTTCCTGGAACTCACTTGGTAGCCCAGGCTGGCCTCAAACTCACAAAGATCCACCTGGCTCTGCCTCCCCAGTGCTGGGATTAAAGGTGTGCACTACCACCGCCCGGCCAGAATATTCCTTTTTTATAACTAGTTCAACATTAAGATTTTTGCCTGCTACCAAGAATAAAATTTAAGTAGGATAATTTATATTAAATGCTACTTTTTTTTTTTTTTTTAGAGCTTTATTAGGAGGAAGGAGGGGGGGGAGAGGGAGACAGAGACAGAGACAAACAGAGTCAGAGAGACCTCAGAGGGGAAGTACCTAAATGCTACTATTTTTTAATGACACAACATGCCAAGACTTACTTTCTTTAGTTTCTTTTTTTTTTTTTCTGTAAAAGATGATTTTTAAAAAAAATATACACTGGTCCACAAGGCAACATATGTCAGACCAAAAATCTCTAACCTCTTCCCAATAATGATATCTAAAGAATTAAGCCAACCTTCATGTTGAGTACAACTATGAAAAATTTTTCAAAATGCCTAGTTGGAAAGAGATATTAAAATAAATGGCAGTATAATTTGCTATAAAGTAGAAATATTTACTATATTTATATTTAATTTAATTATTTAATTAATTATTTAATTTAATTTAATTATTAATTTAATAATAGTATATTTAATATTACTATTTATTAATGTCCTACGCACTTCGGCCCACTGATTTCGCACTATGTAGCATCTGTTCAAATGCCTGGCTCAGTTCCTTAAAGGGGCTGCAAAAGTAAAGGAATCAACGCACAGTGCATCTCAACAGTGAAAATACTACAGTGTTTAATTTCTATCCACAGTCAACTATTTCCAAGTGTAAAGATTTGGCATTCTCAAAAAGATCACAGATCTCAAAATTAATCAGTTTAAAAAATCAAATCTGTTTTCCCAAGAACTCAAACAAGTGCTAACTGACTCCTTTCCACACAAAGACGAACAAATATGAACCATTCTCTTTATAAATGTGATAAATGTGTTCGCTAAAGGCAGATATAGATCTAACTACCAGGAAAATAAAGAGCTGGTTTAGTGTAAGATGAGCCTAATGCCAGGCAGAAGTTCTCAGTATCAACCTTCTAGCTCAAAAAGCTAGCCCAGAGTTCAAAATGACTTCCAGGTTAAGTCCGCAGTCTCCACTCAGGATAGTTTTAGCATTCAGATCTCTTGTGTTTCTTTGTTTAAAAATATTCTACAAGCATTTACCCCACCCTCCAAATAAGCAACTTTTATTTACAATGAAGAGTCAGTTCACAGAGAGAGTCATTCTCAAGACAGGAAGGGAAGCTGAGAGAGCGTGGGGGTGGGATTAGCAGGCTCTCTCCAGAGGGAGCACCACACATTAACTGGCACCACAGTGACACTGTTCTTCTACCTACACCTTCCAAATGTTTTCCTGATTGTCACAGTGATCACAGAGGCAAAGTAATTTTCACCTATTGTGTTAGCTGCTCTTTCTTCTTAAGAGTCACTGGAGTGACTCATCTCAACTTCACATGCAAATGTTTCACTCTTCTCACCAGTTCACATTACCATATCACCATTTTCATGTATATAATATCGCAAATTAAAAACTCTAAAATCCCACCACCTACGTTCAAAACCAGTGTACCACCCTTTAGTAGCAGTGCATAATTTAGTCAAATTACTCCACCTCTCTGAGCTTTACTTTTCTGCCTATAGGACAGAAATGTAACATAGAGTTGATGCGCACATTGAAGGTACAAATGTGCACAAAGTCAAAACATAGGACCCCAATGACAGTCACTTCTCCATCATAACAATCCTGACAGCTCTACCACTTTTAAATAACTACACGCACATCAAATAAACACAACACCTATTTATCACAGTAACAGGCAGAACACTGCATGATCTGCCTCTAACACCACCTATTAAAGAGTAGCTTCCTACACCTAAAAACAGAAGGGCATTAAATTAGAAGAGCTGCCAAACTCTAACACCATCATTTTGAAAAGAAAAATTAAAGCAAAAATTTGGACTAGCAAAGCAAAAACTGGGATGCTAGAAAAACTTACTTTTTAGTCATAACACTGAATAGGGTTAGCATCAACTCAAGAGTGATGAATTAGAATCAGCGTTTAACATAAAGCATGGATGCTTGGCAAATTTGGGGTTTTGTTTTTGTTTTCATTTGGTTTTTCTAGACAGGGCTTCTCTGTGTAGCTCTAGGTATCCTGGAATTCACTCAGTAGACCAGGCTGGCCTTTAACTCACAGAGATCCACCTTGCCTCTGCCTCCCAAGTGCTGGGATTAAAGGAGTGATCTACCACCACCTGGTTTGTTTGGCAGATTTGAAATGTTCAGGATTCAGTTCACCTGAAAATATATTATAACCTAAAATATAAACCCACCAAAACTCTGCAGTTTAAATTTGGTTCAATTATTTTGAAATGTGGTAAATGAATGGCAATGCAATGGTTAGATTACAGAAACACCACAGAAATTTTGAGGAACAGCTTGTTTGGTTAATACATACTCCTTTCAGTTAAATAAACATTAACTAAGAATTCATCAAGACCTAGTCCTTTTCTCAAGGAACTATGCAGCAAAGGAACAGCAATTCAGTATATGGTTAAATGAAAAAACCACTTATTATTATTGTGTATGTGTGATCTGTGCCTGAGTGTGGACATGCACATTACTGCACACATATGGAAGTCAGATGGCAGCTTTCTCAAGTCAGCCCTCTCCTTCCACAGTGAGACCAAACTCAGGTCATCAGGGTTGAGGGAAAAGTGCTATTTTACAACTAAAAAGTCATTCTTTCAGCAGCACAAATTTATTACTTGTCCATGAAATGCTACACTGTAACACAAATCTTAAAAGGTCTTATAATAAAAAACCCAGAGCCAGATATCAGGGTGAAAGCTCAAAGATCAGAGAAGCAGAACAGCCAACCACTAGCTTACCTCTACAAAATCCTCAAGAGAGCAAGTTCCTGTTTCCTTACACCTTATATACCTTTCTGTGTCCTGCCATATTACTTCCTGGGATTAAAGGTGTGTGCCACCACTGCCTGACCTCTATGTCTAATTTAGTGGCTGGCTCTGTCTTCTGATCCCCATGTAAGCTTTATTGGGGTACACAATATATCACCACACAACACACATATAAGAAAGAATGTACTATGAATTGAAATGTAACTGGAGTTCTCCTGACTGAGGACTTCATAGGCTACTGTCTGATGCTGGAATTAAAATGAATACACTGAGATACCACAGTCATTTGTTTGCACATGTTGTGGCTCTCTGAGAACAAGGTGGCACGACCACACTCAACAGAAGCCTGAGCAGGTTCAGCAGGTAAAGATAAATGTAAATGGTAAAGATAAATGGTTCAGCAGGTAGAGGTGCCTGCTGCCAAGCCTAACAATCAAGTTCAACCCCGGGAACACATGGTGAAAGCAGAGAACCAACTCCTGAAAGTTTCCTCTGACCTCCACTTTTGTGCTGAGGCATGCGCATGCCCATACACATATAGATTTGAGCGCAGAAACACACATACAAATAAACAAACAAACAAACAAACAAAGTGATTTAAGACATTAGCAAATGGTTCTGGTTGCTAATAAAAAGTATACCCAAAACCATGCAAAGATAGCATACTGACTGACGACTCTAAAAAAAATAAAACATTACTGTAAAGTGTTTTGTTTTACTCTTGTAGAGGTCTCAGTCTGAGTACAAATGTGAAATATTAACTTGGTAACTGAAATTATAAAGATCCAGTTTAATCTAAAAAAGTGCCTGTTTCCATTTTCAAACAGCTCTAGAGAGAAAGCTGCTCTGCCTCTCTAATGACATAACCAGCCTAACCTGGAATGTTCAGCCATGCTGGAAAGTTTAAGTATGTATAGGGAAACACGATTCAAAACATTTAGAGTTAAAGGTTAAGATTTGTCTGCAATAATGGCATGGATAGTATTGAAATTCTAAATTACTGAAATAAGCAAATATTTAATAATGGTTGACTTAATAGACTACAATGACTAAAAAACTATTTACAACAACAAAAAGATGATAAAGTACAAGCACTTACTCTGTATATAAATCCTCTATCATGGCAACAATAATAACAATGAGAGACACAGCAAATATCTGACATCCAGAACCAATGAGAGAAGAAAATATCAGAGGGTGACTTGACGGTCTAAACACATCTCCATGCACTTGCTTCCATCCATATTCATCTCCTAGGTCTCTGTCCTGTATGTAAGACACATATAAATATGTACAGAGAAAATTAACCCATCCAGGATCAAACTGAAATACAGCAGATAGGTAAGAAATTACAGTTGTCAGCTCCCTCCTTCCACACTTACAGCTTTTTAAGAGTTCAAAATACTGTAGACAGACATTTCAGAGTTAAAGTAACTCCTGTCCTAGTAACTCAGAATGTTATGTGCACTGTATTGAAATTCATGAAGGTAAAAGTGGGGAGAGAAAAGGTTGGGCAGCAAAAGAAACAATTGGAAGAGTGAAGGTCTCTCCTAGTATTGCTCCACTCTCAGGCCCTATCCTGCCCCACACATGGTGACTGAGGTTTACCACCATCAATGGCCATGCAGACAAGAAAAGAGAAGTATATTATACCAGTACTTGCCCTAAAAACACAGAAATGCCCTTTATAGTCCAAGTATTAGATATGCATATTTAGTCATCTACAGCTTTAAAAAAATCCATAATTATGTTCAGCCTGAATAACACTCAATGATCCTTAAATAATTTTTGAAACAAAGTTTCTTAAAGGAAAACTACTTAAGAAAAAAAATTTTTTTTACCATTATCACAATATACTTAGCATGTTAAAATTTGACATTTTAAACTGCTTTTCAAGCCTATTTAATAAAGTACACCTAAGTATTAGTATTCTATGAGACACACTGTTGTTCTGTAATTTAATAAAAAATTAAGGATAAATCTCTTTTGAACCATTAAACTAAATATGTTAATCCTTCCACCCACCCCTTAAATTTAATTCAACACTTAACAATATTAAAAAATATATATACCAAAACTAGCCTATACCTCCCTAAAACTAGTTTGTTTCCTAAGTATGATGTGTCCTTATTTGATGACAAAATTTGGCTGGAGATCACAACTTTATTTATCTCACTTAGGGGAACATTTAAGTTCTATGAAAAAAAAATCTATTTGAATAGTGCATGATTCTGGATCTCACAGGGAACATTATCACTACTGTTTTTAAACTCTGCAACGCGGGGGACTAAATCCAACACTAGGCATGCACTTCCCACTGAGCCACACCTCCAGAAAAGTAAGGCTTGTCTCAAACTCCTGGGCTCAAGCAATTCTCTTGCCTCAGTCTCCTGAATATCTGGAACGACAGGTATCTGCTATTGCACCTGGCTTTATACCTTCTTGAAACCTAAGAATCCTGAATTCTGAAAATTCACCTGTCCTTACTAACTTTAGATTAGAAATTGTAATCTATATTCCAGCATTGAAAATACAACAATTGGCTGGAGACACGGCTCAATGGGTAAAGTCTGGCCACCTGAGTTCAACCCCTAGAACCCATGTAAAGGTAAAGGAGAGAACTGACTCCATCAAGTTGTCCTCTGACCTCAACATACATGTTCTGGCATGCATGCCTACAGACATCATATACAGTGACAATACTAATATTTTTTTTAATCTTTAAAAAATATATTAAAAAGTCTGAAGAAACGGCTCAGCAGTTAAGAGCGCACACTGCTCTTCAAGAGGACTCAGGGTCAATGCCCAGTGCTCCCATCATGTGGCTTGCAACCAACCATCCGTAACTCCAGCTCCAGGAGGAATCCAACACCTCTAACCTGTCCAAGCACCTGCAACACGTGCATACAAGCACACACGCACGCACGCATGCATGCACCTAAAATAAGTTTACTATATAACAATATTAATATATATTAATAATATTAAATGTAAAATAGAGTGTTTACTCACCATGTCATCCATTTCTTCTTCTTTACTGTATCGAGCATAATCTTTTCTTAAAGTTCTCATTAAAATCATTGAAACTAAACCCACTAAGAAGATCACCATCATGAAGGAATTGAAAATTGAAAACCAGTGAATCTAAAATAACAGAAAATGAAGTGTTACCAGTGTGAAATACCAGTTATAAAATTCATGTTTCATGGTGTCAACTGTATGCTAACGGAAGAAAGACAGCATTTTATACCTTTTATATAAAAATTCACACTCCAGAGACACCGGGGTTAAGTGCTCAGAATGATAAAGGGCAACCAACTTCCACGAAAGCATGCTATCATCTACACAGATTTTTTTCAAGTCAGATTTACTAACCCACTTAACTATTATTTAGCCATAAAGCATACACAAATCAACTTTACATGGAAAGCATATGGGCAATGTAATCGAAAAGGCTTATTTATGTTTTAAGTCTGCAAACTTCCATGTAGCTTCAGTTTTCTCATGTGAAAACAGAGGCAGCATCCTGTGTTCCATATGGTGTAGTGATGATGTATGTAAGGACACAGCACGGAACAGCACTGTATCTGGCAGGAACAGTAGATAATAAACGTGCTCGTCTCCTAACTGACCAAACCCTGAAAAGCTCCTTTCAACCCAGCACCCCACCATCACTACCACCACTGTAGATCTAGGCTTTCTCCCTGAAGATCTGTTTCCCCGGCCTTCAGTTAGTCATGCACTATCATCCTCATACTAGTTCTTTCCCAAGTAGTCACCCCAGTGGCTACCAGAACAATAAAGTATTCACTCCTTAACTCCTCAATATTCTCAAGGCTCGCCTTTGACATCATCTGTACATGTCAAAAAACATGTCCAGATTCTGGCCTATAGTTACAAAGTACGACTTTATCATCAAAGACATCTTAGAACACAGTACACTGGACTTGAATTAAGTCTGTGGTTTTGCATACTTAACTCTGTTATTTATACTTTAACCTCCCCCATGTCCTTAAGGTACTTCTGAAGTTTCTCTCCTCTTCCAAGTTTCCGACACCATGTCTCCTGTTGTCTTCCACCACCCAGCACAACACAACCTTCCTAGATGTAGCCCCTTGTTTACTGCTCCTGCTACGGTGCTTTCCCTCTCACTCTGCACCCCGACACCCCACATACGCCATCGCTACCCAACACCCCATCACTGCCTTTGTCCAGCATCAGCAATCTCCCTATATGATGAGGACAGTTCTAACTAACGTGCTGAGGCTGTGCACCAAGGTGCAGAACAGTCCTGGCTTTGTGATCCTCCCTGAGCTTCGGGGCCAGGACAACTCTACGGCTCTAGCTGAAGGGCAGATCGCCAACTGCCTCTGCCTCACACAAGAACCAACCTGCCAACCTTCCTTCCTTCACTAACTTACTCACTGAGTACCTGCTAGAATTATAAACAAAACAATGAAGGCATATTTTGAAAACTTTGCAAAAAAGATAATATTTAAGTTTATCATAGAAGCACAACTGAACATTTGTAAAAAAAAAAAAAAAAAAGAGCAGTATGTAATATCAGGCCTTCCCGATGGGTTCATTTGTTTCTATTTCCATTTGTATTGTCTACTTCCTAGAATCATCACAAGGTTTAAACAATAACAGGAAAACAGAGAGTATAGTGTATAGCACATCACAACTCTATGCTATGACTACTTACATCTTTTACAGTGTCTACTCCATTTTTTGTCCTATCAAAACTAACCAACACTTTTCAAACAAGACTACATTTCTTCCCTTACTTCTTCACAATGTGATCTACCCCTCAAGACCTGCAATAAACTTCTGGTTTTTTTTTATATTTATTAATTTTGTATGTATGCATATGTGTGTATGGGTCAAAGGACAATTTGTGGGAGTTCTCCCATTCCCTGTGGACTCCAGAGATTGAGCCGGAGTCAACAGGCCTGGGGGTAAGAACTTTTACCACTGAGCCAGCTCCCTGGCCCCTGCAATGAACTTCTAAACTGATCCAGAAGTTGGGTGTTCTGCTCCCTCTCCTTATCTCTCTGCCAAGTCTAACCTTGGCTGACACCCTACCATTCTAAGTCACTAACTGCTGCTTCGTTTTCATCTGTCCACTGTTCAGCCTTTGCCAACTTTTCCAAAAGCTGCAGTCTTGGCATTCAAGCACGACTCTCAGTCAAGAACCTTTAACCAGCTTTCCAGAGATGATGCCACTACCACCTTCAGTGCTCACCTGCTCAAATCTCCAGCTTTCACATGCTTTCACAGTACAGACCTTCACTAACTACCATAACTTCCACTTAAATGCCTTCGTGGAATTTCAGGTTGGGACTACCCTTAGTAAATCTATCATCTTCCCTCACATATACCACTCATTTCTTATTCTCTAGCTTCTACTAATGAACTAGTATTTATTTTTGGTCCTTCCTTCTCCATCCTTCAAAAGTAATAGTTATTAAACTTAAAAAATATTTATTTTAGTTTTCATTGTATATATGTAGCAGTGTATGGGCATATGCACACATGTGTAGGTGCCTGTGGAAGCCAGGAGGGATTCCTGGAGCTGGAGTAACAGGCAGTTGTGAACTGTCAGACATGGATACTGGGAACTGAACTCAGGTGCTCTGCAAAAGTAGTAAATGTTCTTAATTTCTAAGCCATCTCTCCAGCCTTAATTATGAAACTTCTGTTCTCCTTCAAACTGTACCCCTTCCTCTGCATTCCCGAGGTATCATCGCACAACTCAACAAGTCCGATTTCCTCTTGGCTGGCCTTTTGCTGCTGTCTGATCTCCCCTTGTATGCTGATCTTTCCAATGTATGCTGTACAAAGTTAGCAAGCAAATCTTTCTACAATGTAATGTTCATTATCACTACTGTTCTAAACCCTACAGAGCTCAATTTTCTCAAATCCAACCTCAACAATTTCCCAGGATTCTATCCTTCCTGTAACATGGCCTTCCACATCTTCAATGACCTCTCTTTCCATTACACCCTACAGTCCTATCCCTGCTCAGTGACCAAGCGTATTCACTTTCATCCTCTTGCTGTTCATAATTTCTTCTCTCATGTGATTTACATTCCTTTGTAAATCCTCTCCAGTCTTCAAATCCCAAGTCAAATAGTGGCCTCTCCACTACAGAGCCTTTCACTTACATTCTGCAGTTATTCATAGAAATTCTGCTCTGTGTACGCGAGTCCCTAGAAAACTTACCACCAGGGTGTACTGACTTGTACAATGAGGGCAGATTTTGACATGAGCTAATGTGCTAAGAAGTGCATGAATGGGAAGGGCAGTCCTGACTCTGCTACTCACACTGGGGTTTCAGGGAGAAGACATATGCTATGGCTTCCCTCCTCCAACAATTTAGTTACTGAGCACCCACTGGAATTATAAATGAAACAACTAATGAAAGCACTGTACTTTAAAATGTTTGTCCCCAAAAGGCTATGTAAATTTATCATAAAGGTGTCCCCAAAGATGTTAAAAAGCAGTTTAAAGTGAAATGGCAGATGTCTCCAAAGATGAGATTTGTTTCCACTTCAGAAATTAAAAACCCAGAAAGGGTCAAGAGAAGGGGAAAAAAAATGTATGACTCAAATCTTTAGTCAACTGATCAAGGTTTTAAAGAGGAAAAATTTTATATACACTTAGTACTAAGAAAGGTATGCATTAAATGCTAAAACTTCTCACCTGAATGGAGCTAAAAATGAGTACATACACTAAAGCAGAGAAAGACAAGTACCATATTTATCTCACTTGTATGTGGTATACACCAGTGCTTTCACTGAAGCTGACTGCAAACTATGGGTACCAAGAGGCTGAAGAGAAGAGGAGGAGGAAAGGTGGGGTCAAAGTCATCAAAAAGTACCAAGTTATAGGTGGGAAGAACGCAATGTTCTGTTGTGTTATCACACATAGGGTGTTTTTCTTTTGGAGGTATTTATGTGAAATTATGTGAAAGGTTTCTTTTATAGGTATCTTCTTTTGTAGGTAGATAATGATAACGTACAATACTTTTTTTTTTTTTTTTTTAGGTTTTTCGAGACAGGGTTTCTCTGTGCAGCTTTGCGCCTTTCCTGGATCTCGCTCTCTAGACCAGGCTGGCCTCGAACTCACAAAGATTCGCCTGCCTCTGCCTCCCAAGTGCTGGGATTAAAGGCATGCGCCACCACCGCCCGGCGTACAATACATTTTAAAAGTGAATTCTGAATGTTCTTTTAAAAACTTTTCAATTGACTTATCTGGTGGGTACAGAGCTGTCAGACAACTCTGAGAGTCAGTTCTCTCCTTCTACCACGCGGGTCCTAGGGAATGAACGCAGGTCACTGGGCCTGGCAGCAAGCCTTCTACCTGCTAAGCCCTCTCATTGGCCCCTGATGTATCCACCATGAAGAAATAATAAATACCTGAATTTGAGAGGATGTTTAATTTGGCTTGAACAGTGCATAATGTATAAATATATTGAAGCATCAGAGGCTACCTCATAAATACATATAACTTGTATGTTTTATGTATCAGTTTAAAATATAAATTTAAAATTTTAAAGTATTAAAACTTCTAATGAGGTTCTTTGCTATTTTCTAATCTAAAAAATCAATCTAAGGTGTAAACTTTAAACCAATATCTATAATAATGCACTGCCAATAATCTGAAACTTCTAACATTCCTTTGGCATTACTCTAAAAACTATACGTGGTATACTCTTGAAAATTTTATACTGAGAAATAGTTATTAAAAATAATAAAGCATCACTGATAAGCCTTTTAGCTATGATTAAGTATAAAAATAATAAAGTAAGCAGATTACTGAACCCACTAACTGCTGCGCTGCAGTGCCCCCTAGTGTTACTAATCCTAGATGTTCCTAATCCCTCTGCTTATTGCAGAATTTTCAGAACAGAACTGGAGATAATAAGAACATCACCAGCGGTGCTGCCTTGAACTAAGATTGAGTTTCGACACAAACCCTGACCTAGATGTTTCAGGTAACCTACATATGTTGGTGAAGAAAGATGACTATGGGAAGCATTTATTCCCTTCTTGATGTGCCATGTGGAAGGCTTTCTACTAGTAAAACCTGCCCTGTTCTCTCATCCCTCCTTTCCAAGAGATGTCCTTTCTGCTGCTGTTTCTCCACACTGTAAGTTTGGGAAGTCTGCCAATAACAGTTCATCATCACCAGGTAAGGTCTGTCTAATACTGAGTTTCAGAAAGAAGCCCATCTGACCATGAACCACATTCTCCAAAATTATCATCACTTGCAATTAAAGTGCTGTATTTGGCTTCCACATATTATGTTTTCCCTGTATATCTCTTAACTGGTTTAGACTACAGCATCTTACAAGCTAGTTTTATTATTCCTCTAAAATTCCCTATCATCCTTATGGCTCTAAATTTACATCTGAAATCACCAGTAGTTATATCTTGAAATCCATAGTCCTTAGCACAGTGACCTACAAAGGCAGATGCTCAATGTGAAACTGATTTGCACACATATGCTGTATCTTAAAGTACCAACACCTACCCTATGTTGAAAAAAGGATGGATCAAGATATTTGTCGAATCGATCTTCAAATTTTACATCTGATTTTTTCCATTTTACCTGAAAAAAAAATCCCACTTGAAAATTAAGGCCAATAAATAATTAATAATCTAATGGCAAAACTCATAAAATTCAGAAATACTGACACACTTAGAATTAAAATTATATAGTGAAAAGATACTGACAGTACCGGAGGTTTAATTTTTTTTTTTTAAATCTTGTTACTTGATGTGTTTGGGTATGTGTCTGTGCACTACACATGTACAGTGACAGCAAAGGCCTGAAGAGGGTACTGGATCCCCTGAAACTAGAGTTAAGATGTTATGAGCTACCATGTAGCTGCTGGGAATTGAACCGAGGTCCTATGGAAGAGCAGTCAGAGCTCTTAACCACTGAGCCATCTCTCCAGTCCCAGTATGAGAAGTTTAAACAAGTACAATAATACATCTTTCTTTCTTTCTTTTCTTTTCTTTTTTTTTTTTTTTCCCAGAGCTGAGGACCAAACCCAGGGCCTTGCGCTTGCTAGGCAAGCACTCTACCACTGAGCTAAACCCCCAACCCCACATCTTTCTTTAGAGAGATCATTTCAGCTTTTGAGGACTTAATTACTGTTGACTGACATACTATCTGATAAATGTGTTAGGAATTAACACCAACTCATGTTACAAGTATTTAAACCAATTAAAATGAGAACACATAGATTTCTGTCTTTAAATTGTGGTTTTATGACAACTATTAAATTTCTTTGTACAGTTATATAATAATTACTTACATTAGGTACATATAGACAAAAAGAATTCTCAAAATTGGCTATAAGCAAGGGGATTCTTTTCGATGACCAGGAAAATAACTGGCAAAGAGAAAGTCTCCCTGTATTGGACTTCCTCTCTTTCTTCTATCATTTTTAAGCTAACAGAATAGAATTAATTAACTTCATAGTTGCTAAAGGACTCTGAGAAGCTCTTACTGTGTGGGAATAAGTCTTCCCATCAAATAAAGCAAATCATAGCAATCTACACCTACCCAGAGACTTTCATCCTATCTCCATCTGCAACAGCAAATGAAAAGAGAAATAACATGAGCTCCTGCAACCTAAAAACATCAGGAAGATACAGGGCTGAGTTGTAACCTTCTGGTGTCAATGGTCACTGTGTTAGAGCAATGGTCATTAAGCCAATGCATGGCATCCCATATCATAGATCTGAAGCACATACCTTCCTTTAGAAGATTTAATATAGATATACTGAGGAATTTCGTTGCATCTAATTTTCAGCTATATTTTTATTTTCTAAAGTTATAAACACAACCATTTTTTCCTATACATAATTATTTTAAACTTACTGAATATGACATCTGTATTTTAGTATTTGGAACCAATTTGACCTTTCCTTCACTGGTTAGATTAACATCAACAATTCGATTTCCATTAAAGCCTATTTCAAGTTTTTTATAGGTCCAAAGATAGTAATCTTCCCCATTTTCATCTGCTTCACCAACAATACCTACAAAAGAAAAAATACTTTATACAAGGTAATACCACTGAGTATTCAAAGCACCCAGAAGCTAAGAGTTCATTAAGTTTATTTTATATAAAGAGGCAATACTGTCAACATCCTCATGGTTAGCACAAGGCAAAAGTGCAGGCTGGACTTCTTAGCAAATACACACTATGGTCACACTCGTATAAAATAACAAGAAGTTGAACATAAATGGTCACAGATATGATACTCAGAACTCACTCTCTGTCACCGCTAGCACCTCTGCTGCTACAATTATCACTTTACTTGTGCATACTACTTAGTATCTCAGGTTTTCAGAAACATGCTATGTTACCATCTGTCAAAATAACCTAGCTACTTAGTGACCACACAACACACACACACACACACACACACACACACACACACACACACACACACACAGCGGGGGTGGAGGGGGTGGTGGGGTTGTGTGAAGGGGAGAGAGGAAGAGAGGGATAAAAAGGGGAATTCATTTGCCTATCTATTTTAAAAACTAGACTTGGAGGTAAAGACACAGCTTCTCTAAAAGGCTTTTCAAAGACAGACTTTCGTTCAAGAAACACCATATTGGATTTTTTTTTTTCCTTCACAAAGAGGGAAGAGGAATGCCCAGGATCAGATATTACAGATTATGCAAACATATTTAAAGATGGCAGATCCTGAAATTCAAATTCTAAAAACAGGTTTTGAAGGGGCTGAGAAATGGCTCAGTTGGCAAAGTCCTTACTACACCAGCACGAGGACTGGAGCTCAATCCTATGTAAAGCAGCTGAGGATGGTGGAAAGTCCTTATCATCCCAGGGCTATAGAAGTGAAGACAGGAAAATTAGTTTGGCTCAATGGCTGGCTAGCAGTGCCTAATCAGTGAGTACCAGGCCAAGTGCGAGACCCTGTCTCAAAAAAGAAAAAAAAAAAAAAGGAAAGAAAAAGGTGGTCAGCACCTGAGGCATAGCACCCAAAGATGACTTCTGGCCTCCACAATGGATAGACACACACACACACACACACACACACACACACACACACACAATTTATAACAAAGAACAGTTGTTACTGTTGCTAAAGAGGCTCCCAGCAATGATTAGGAAAACAAAAACTGAAGATACAGATTTAGAAGAGAATACAATGAGCCAGAGAGATGGCTCAGTAGGGAACAGCACTTGCCACCAAGCCTGGTAACCTGAGTTCAAAGCCCAGGCCCCACATAGTGGAAGAAGAAAACAGACTCCCACTGTGCTCTGACCCCCACACCCATGCTGTGGCACATGTGCACATTCCATTTCCCCAATACTAAAAAAATGAATGTGATAACGAGGTCTCTTTATGTAGTCCTGGCTGTCCCAGAATTCATTATGTAGATCAGGCTGGCCTCGAACATGCAGAGATCTGCCTGCCTCTGCCTCTGGGAGGCATATGTGACCTTTAAAAGTCCATAATAATAGAAGAACTATGAAAGGAATCTGTTTTCACTGCAAATGAAAAACAGTCTTGTTTAATGGGTTCTCCTAAACTATAGGCTCAAAAATCTTCAGCAAGTATTTAGTTTATCTTCCACCACCCTCAGAGCTGATCACAGAACTGTCTGTGTCCTGTAACAGTAACATTTATACGAAATGCTTATTTTACACACCTAAATAGCACAAAATGTCTCTTGAGATTAACTTTTCTTTTTTTACGACAGGGTCTCACTATGTAATCTTGGGTGGCCTCAGACTTGCTATGTAGACTAGGATGGCCTTGAACTCAGAGATCCTCCTGTCTCTTCCTCCCAAGAAATTAACTCTTATAAATTTCTTTAGCATATTAAATTCTGATCATATTAAATTGTGCTCAGTCAGTTTTTCTACAGATGAACATAATGATCAGCTAACAATTTTAAGAATAAAAGATAATTCTTACACATAGAGCCTATGTTTAGAGACAGAAAAAAATGTGACTAAACATGTTGCCTATGGTAACTGCCTATTCCTTGCATTTTAAATAATTTAATTATTTAAGTTATTTTTGGACTATGCTTAAGTTTGTATTAATCATATTATATCTCTTCCCCAGTAGTATAGACAAGCAAGAGCTAAACAAGAATAATTCTTCAGTATTAAATGTTTTGGAAAATGACAAAGGAACTGGTAAAATAAAACATTCAAGAAATTATCATGTCCCTAAAAACGTATTACTACAGTGTCCATAAAGAGGTAAATTTCAAAAATTCTATTCAGTCCCTCTAATTATACTGAAGAGAAAATAAGCTGGGAAGAAACTAGGGAAGAAGGAAATTTCAGATGTTCCAAGAGCCTTTGAACTCCTTGAGTCTGAAAAGCTTCACTGTATAAACTTTTTATTTTGAGAGTTTCCTATAAGGTCTGGCAGCATTAAATGCTTCCAGTAGGAGGAAGCCATAAAATCAGCATTAAAGACCATTCCGGAGCGGACTGGAAAAACATTTCCATCATGATCTGGAACACAGTCACATTAACACACTGGTTATATGAAATCTTACACGTAACAGGAAGTACTTACCCCATATTGGTAAGTCATCTATGTACATCTGGTACCAATAGTGATTCTTGATAGCATACACAAATGCATCTCTCTTTTCTTTATCTAAGTCAATTTCACAATAAGTACCTGGCATCACATCATCTGCAAAGTAAAAACTACAAATTAATCTACTGGCTTGCAAAATCGTTACAGGAAATATAGCACAAGAAGAAAAGTCAGCATTTGCTTTAGTTAATGTCTATTCCCAATAGTTCAGAATGGTAGTAAATATATGGGAGCTCAGTAAGCTATCCTACCCACTTTTTTTTATATCTTTCATTACCTTAAGATGAAAAATTTTGATCATCTTTATTTTCAAAGATTACCTTACACAAAGAAAGCCCTCATATAAAAAAATACAAGAACAAAGTCATTTAAAAATAAATAAAACTGATATAAAAACAAAGAACAAAAAAAGCTTATGACACATAAGGAAATCTTCATTTACTGTGTGGAAAAGATTAAGGATATGAGCCGAAGCAGAGATAACAGTGGAGTTTAAGGTCACTCAGACACACATTTATTCCAACAGTACAGAAACCCAAGTCATCAGTGGCCACAGAGGCCATGAGGACTTCCAGTGATCCTTCATAATTATTAAAATTATAAGCCTAGCCTCTGTCTAATAGGCATTTCTGCTTATTAATCACTCAAAAATACCCTAAAGGTGAGTCATTTACATGTACTCTCTGGCCTATGGAACTTGGAGCTCACACTAACTCTAGCAGGAAGGCCATTCTAAAATTTTGAGCGCCCCAGTTTCTCCTCCACAGAGTAGTCTCTTGATTTCTCACCCCCTAAGACTGCCCCTTTTGCTGAGGAGGTTCCGAGTTTTATCACCACTTTATTAGGGCACTGCAAAAGGACACTAGTCGGTCATTTTAATGACATTCCTCTTTCAGACATGAAGGCAAACATAAACATCACTGATGACTCAACATTCTGGTTACCCAGTCAAAACAGCACTCTTCTCTTTCTCCTGGGGGCGAGGCGGGGGGGGGGGGGGGGGGGGGGGGGGGGGGGGGCGGGCGCGGGGACTGCTTTGAAGACAATGTGTACAAAGATGCCAAGTCACTGTCCACATTCTACATAACTGAAAAACTGGCCTAAAGATCTCTCACCTTAAATCACTGGTTGAAAATGACAACAGAGCATACCTCCCTCACCTAAAACACAAACCTACACATTCTGAAAAAGATGCAACTGAGATTTTAGCAATGTAAAAATCTTGAGGAGATTAAAAAAAAAAGTCATAAATTAGCAAATGTTGATACTTACTTTTCAAACAGATCACCACACTAAGTTTAGATCTCAGAACCTAAGTGCCACTGTGTACCCAATAAAAAAGTCCAGAAAATAACACTGCAAATACTGAGTTCTCTACGAATGTACCATGCCACTATCCTTACACTTTCTCTTTTGATGGCAATACTAAAACGGAAAAGTAGACTCTTACCTCAAATTCAATAGCACCTAGCAAAGTTATCATGAAATCACCATATATACACGAAGAGACACGGGTAAAGTATTGAGTTCTGGTTTGAGTACCATTACTCACTAGCTACCTGAACAAAAAACAAATGGTTTAACCTCTGTGACCCTCACAGTCCCTCAATTGTGAAAACTGAAAACAACTGTGTTGGCTCCTTTTAAGGCTGGAGTGTGAGTGTATTCACAGGGTTCCTAAGTACTTTTGCCCTCACACTCTGGAGAACATCATGAAAGTGTTACTTCCCCTGCCACAACCCCCCTGCCAGTGTACATTCACACAAAATTAAGTGCACAATTTCAGAGTGCCCATGGATGGACCTCTGAAGCCAGAGGTCTGGTTAAACTCTCTACATTCATAGCCCAGCACAGTCTGGAATACAATTACATACTCAATAACTGCCAAATAGATTTAAAAAAAAAAAAAAAAGATGGAATGGAAATACTGGTATATGCACAGTTAATTTAAAAACTATGTAAGAAGTACAGATTAACTGAGCAACCTGACAGGCAGCATAAACCACGCAATTTGTAGATGGCTGTTTGGAAATAGGGATCATGAACTGCCACTGGGCTTAGTGGTACAAGCCTGTAATCCCAGCTACTTGGAAGCTAATACAGAAGGATTGTAAACTCAAAGTCAGCCAGAGCTACAGAGGAAGCTCAAACCTAGGCCATCTAACTTAGCAAGGTTGTGTCTCAAAATAAAAAGTTAAAAAAGGGGGAAGGGGGGGCGCTAGAATTTGCTTTGCTTAACGTTCACGAGGTCCTCTCCTCAACTCAATCCCTATACTTAAGAAAGAAAGAAAGAAAGAAAGAAAGAAAGAAAGAAAGAAAGAAAGAAAGAAAGAAAGAAAGAAAGAAAGAAGGAAAGAAAGAAAGAAAAGGAAAAAGAAAGGGAGGAAAGAAGGGAAAAGAAACTGCCTTAAAATGTTTATTGCCTTTAAACTCTGTGTGTGTGTATGTGTGTTTAAAACCTTTGATTTAGTACTTCTACTTCTAAGAACTTAGGCTTGTAAAAGATTTATAGGTGCATTACAATACCTTATCCAAGAACTGACAAATGTTTGTTATTTCTAAAAAGAAAGAAAAAGGGCAAGGGAGGGAGCAGATCATCTTGCGACTAGAGTGGGGAGATTGCATCTCCTAATTACAGAGTAATATGCAGCCACATTTGAAGAATAAGAATAAACTCACAGAATGTTAGGAGAAAAAAAGGAATATAAAATAATTACATATAACTTACTGAGTAAGAAATACTCAACACTGACATATTAAATTAAGCACTATATAAGGGATGAGCTTTAAAAAATAATACAGGCAACAGGAATCCAATTGTCACTTTCTATGACAAGATCTCCCCACGGACCCCAGGCTGACTGGGAATTCTCAATCCTTCCATCTCAGTCTCACAAGTGTTACAATTACAGGAACTACAAACACACCCCATTTAATTTTATATATTTTTAAACAATTTAGATGAATAGAAATTTCTATTTTTATATTCTTCTGTAGATTCTAAATGTTATGTACTGAAACTGTATTACAATTAGCAAAGGCAGTAAAGAATCAAAGAACTGACAAATTTCAGATTCTAATTGTTTGGTTGGGTTAAAACACAGATGGATTGAAACCAACAGGAAGAAAAATCTAGCAGCAAGCTCTCATACCTCCAGATATCAAGGCACGTTTAAGCACAGGTGGTTTTCTTCTCCTGCCTAAAACCCCTCAAATGTCCGTAATAAAAGGATGTGAGTCCATCGGGACAAAAAGCAGAAAGCGGTGATAGTACTTTTCTATTGCTGTGACAAAACACCACGTCTAAGGCAACAGGAAGGAAGAGTTTGTTGGGCTTACAGTTCAGAGAGATCAAGGGTCCATCACAGCAGGGCAAACACGGCAGCAGCAAGCATGGCGGCTGGAGCAGAAGCTGAGGGCTCACATACCCAACCACAAGCACCAAGAAGAGAAAGCAAACTGAAATGGCTTTGAAACCTCAAAGCCCATCCACCCCCAGTGACACACTTTCTCCAGTAAGGCCATACATACCTCCTATCCCGCCCAAACAGCACCACCAACAATATCTGATCTGTGGGGATGTTCTCATCCAAACCATCACAAACGAAAAGAAGAGCTTAATACATTTTTGGAAAAGGAAAAACAGAGAATATGACCAGCGACATAACACAGGGGAGACCAGAACAAGAGAGCTGCCTAGGAGAGAGAGAGAGAGAGAGAGAGAGAGAGAGAGAGAGAGAGAGAGAGAGAGAGAGAGAGAGACTGATATCACAGAATGCGTAAGATACTGTAGACCTTGAAATATAAACAACAGATGTAAGGGCTGAACATATAGAGTAATTACATGCAAATATTTTTACGAAATGGACATGATGGTAGCTTACACCTTTGATCCCAGGACTTAGAAGGCAAGAGACAGAAAGACCACAAGTTTGAGGCTAACCTGGGGTACTTAACAAGATCTTGTCTAAAAAAACAAACAAACCCAAGAGCTGAGGATGTCACTCAAATAAGATGAATAAGTAGAAAATGATGACAACGACAAGGAACCCAAAAGGCTATGAGACTGGATGCTCATGTTCTTTCCCTACCCACCACACAGCTAGATGAATACCCTCAACTTGTCCCCTGCGTGGGAGACAGAGACAGACCTTCCTTTCTAGAATTCCTAGGGCTCCAGAAGTAGTAACAGTGGAAACAGCAGAAGGGACAGAAAAGAGGGTGAGGGATTGCCTTCAGTAAAAATCTTCTAGCTGAAGGAGTAGACCTGCTACTCCAAGTTCTTTCCCCATCCTTTGGCAGTCAGGGCTATTCCACCCAGGCAGATATCCAACTAGAAATGTTGCCTTTGGGAATGAGAGCAGCCAGGATGGAGAATCCCTTAGCTTTAGTCTATAAGGATTTAAACAGCACTGACATTTCTCCATAGCTGCAGAATTCAAAATTAACCAAACCACTCAAGGTAAAAAGAAATACAAAATGCCATCTGTATATTAGGTTAGGGTATTCAAAGAAAAAATAATTTAAAAAAAAAAAAAAAAACCTAATACAGTATGTGGAAAGGAAGAATCCCTAAAAGTCATTATTTTTCAACTATTAATGCCCTTTATTATACCATAGGATTCTCAAATAATAGGGAAAGGAGCAGTGACCTCCTCTGGTTAAGAATACTACCCCGGTAGGCATGATGGCTCACACCTGTAATCTCAGCATTTGGGAGACTGAGGCAGAGGATCATAAGTTCAAAGCCAACATCAGCAAAGGCCAGCAAGGGATATACAATAAGCTCTAGGCTTAGGCTAACCTGGCTCACATAGTAATGCCTTTACACACACACACACACACACACACACACACACAAAGAGAGAGAGAGAGAGAGAGAACAAACAAAACAAACATAAGAATTACGATTTCAGATCATTTAATAATCAAAAAGAACCAATTGTCATACAAGTACACATTATCCAGGTGCTAGACAATTTATTAAGAGCTTACTCAGTCTTAGCAGCTAGGGTGTGCAAGAATGCACTAGCCTAATGGAACCAGCAGGAGAGTACAGTAGTTTGGGAACATATAAAATTCTACGATCAGTAAACTAATAATCAGAACTGCTAATATAAACAAGTAGAATTCAGATCCATACTATGTATATTAGTAGGCACAGCACTCACCATTTCTCAAACATAAACTATACACCAGGTACTTTTAAAAGTACATTATCTCACTTAAACCTAACAATGATTCTATCAGGTATACTATTCCCCATGCTTCCCAGACAAGAACTACAAAAGATCAAAGACATTGAATTATCTGCCTACAACCAGACAAGTAGGCACAAGCAGAGCTGAGCTGTACCATGTCTGATTCTAAAACACAAGTTCTTTCTACTCCATAACAGCAGTGTTCTAAGAGATAGTACCCATAATCAGAAAGCAATGAATTCAGGCCTGGCTCAATGATCCTAATATAGACCTATGCTTATATTTAATGCACTTTCTCTAAATGGTCTCAATTAGCATTTTTGTCTAGCACTAGCATATAAAAAAAGAAAAGAAAGAAAGCTGTGCATAAAATCTGAAGTGAGAGGCATCTTAAAACGGTCTGTCTTCAGACCAAGACTATGGTTAGTTCCTTAGCATAATCTCTCTAGTGACCTTCAATGCTACAAAATGGTACCAATTCAATTAGCCTGATAGAATCTGCTAGGTTAAAAAAAAAAACAAAAACTGTTTCTGTACACATGTATATGTATGTATGTGTGTGTGTTTATATGTATGTGTGTGCAGTGTATGTGTGTTGTTTTCAAAATTTTACTTCATATGAATATACCTTCAGAAGAATCATTAAGAGTCAAATGCTTGATATGAAAGACTAAGAACAAATAGTAGCTGGTACATGTGTGCAATCCCAGCACTCAGGAGGTACAAACAAGAGAGTAAGAAGTTCAAGGCCTGCCTCAGCTACACAGCACATTTGAGGCCAGCCTGAGTTTCCTGAGTCCCTATCTTAACACACCTCAAAATAATAAACAAACAAACAAATAAATAAATGGTTCACATTGAGACAGTACTGGTCTGGCTTCTACAGCATTATCAGTATGTGTGATATCCCGTGAACAAATTGCCCATATCTGGGTCTCCAAAAGTGCATTCTACCTTTCAAAGTTTATAAAAATATGAGTAATAATCAGGAACACTTCCAAAGCATGATCATCTCTATCCATGAACCAAAGAAACAAAAGCCTACAGTAGTGGGAAACAGAAATCAATTCCCACTGGCTACTTCATTTGGACTACCCAAGTTAGCAGCTGTTTTGGCAGTATTCAGCTAAGGCACAGAGCTAGCTGGCTAGGTCCCAAGAACTGCTACCTTTCGGGGGAATAACAACTGGTAGTTCTTTCATCCCTCAAGTGTTTAGCTTAATCTGAAAAGAAAACAAACCTCACTTTCAAGCCCATGAAAACAGCCTCCAACTATTTATCTCCATCTCAGACTCGAGGAAGTAGAAGAAGAAAGGAAGGTTAAAGACTGCTGAAGAAATATTTCTTCAGATAAGTAAGGCATAAGGGCTTCAAATCTGATGAAATCACTGCACCAAAGCAGGATTTGTGGGTTTACTCTCTCTCTCGCTGGCTCCTCTCTATTAAATGAGACATGCCTCCTGAATATGGAAAAGGAGACACTAGGTGGATAAATATAGTATTCAGATTCTCAAAGATCACATGTTCTAGTTTAGTTTCTTCATATTTATGATTAAATATTTCAATTATCTTATTAAATTAAAACATATGCCTCAGGGTATGTTTCTAACACTCATAAAATTATAGGCCACACCACTGTGGTTTAAATATACAATTCAATTTTATAATTAAGTCCCAAAGGACATTATGGGGGAGGTATAAAATGTGCACCCATTTTCAAAACAGATCTGTAACAAAAAAAATCTGATAAATAAAATAATTTAACAAATCAAAGTAACATTTCCTTCATATCTTATTTCATAGCCTACTCCCAATGCTCTAAAAATATCAGAAGGCAGTTCCTATTCATATTATACACCCATGGACTCAATGAAGTCAAAACTGGAGCAAATAATTTTACTAGTTGATACAGCAAAAGAAATGAAGCTAAAAACAAAGTTCCCGAGAACAATGCCCATGTTCTATTAAAAATCAAGACCCTTGATTAAAGATTCTGCAGAACTCCAACTTCCTAGAGATGTTTTAGCCATAGTACTGCCTATGCCTGTGCAGGGAACCAGTGTCTGCGTAGGGAACCAGAGGCTGTGCAGGGAACCAGCGCCTGTGCAGGGAACCAGTGCCTGTGCAGGGAACCAGTGCCTGTGCAGGGAGCCAGTGTCTGTGCAGGGAGCCAGTGCCTGTGCAGGGAACCAGTGCCTGTGCAGGGAACCAGTGCCTGTGCAGGGAACCAGAGGCTGTGCAGGGAACCAGTGCCTGCGTAGGGAACCAGAGGCTGTGCAGGGAGCCAGTGCCTGCGTAGGGAGCCAGTGTCTGTGCAGGGAGCCAGTGCCTGTGCAGGGAACCAGTGCCTGTGCAGGGAACCAGAGGCTGTGCAGGGAACCAGTGCCTGTGCAGGGAGCCAGTGCCTGTGCAGGGAACCAGAGGCTGTGCAGGGAACCAATGCCTGTGCAGGGAACCAGTGCCTGTGCAGGGAACCAGTGCCTGCGTAGGGAACCAGAGGCTGTGCAGGGAACCAATGCCTGTGCAGGGAACCAGTGCCTGTGTAGGGAACCAGTGCCTGCGTAGGGAACCAGAGGCTGTGCAGGGAACCAATGCCTGTGCAGGGAACCAGTGCCTGTGCAGGGAACCAGTGTCTGTGCAGGGAGCCAGAGGCTGTGCAGGGAACCAGTGCCTGTGCAGGGAACCAGTGCCTGCGTAGGGAACCAGAGGCTGTGCAGGGAACCAGTGCCTGTACAGGGATCCAGAGGCTGTGCAGGGAACCAGTGCCTGTGCAGGGAACCAGTGACTGTGCAGGGAACCAATGCCTGTGCACGAATACTCTAACAAACTTCACAGAAGAACACACTAAGATTAAACACAACGTCTCACAGATGGCTCCAATAGGCTTCCCCTCATGTTTAACAGTGTCTGACCTAAATCTTAAATATTCTATAGGTGCTAAGAGGATGAATTACACTCTGAGTATACTGTACAAGTTAAATCTGTGGTTTTACACAAACTTCTCAGGAACCGCGTATCCCTTTGGAGACCCACACCTCCAAAAATTACTTTACAATGATATTATGAGGCCTTCCCTGGCCATATATGTATCTAATAACTGAAGATTTACCAGAAAAATATTTTTCAGAAAGAACTATGTTAGAGAAACATTCTGTTAACAATTTACTTGGCTAAACATCCTATAATATACAACCCCATACAATGAAATTACCTGGCTCCAATGTCAGCAAGGACTATTGATGTTGACCTACCTTTAAATTTAATATCCAGGCCACTAAATTCTAATTCAACTCCTTGAAGTGCTTCTCCCAAAGTTTCATGGTAATGACTGATACTTTTTTTTGACCCTACGCAGAATGGAAGTGAAAAATATTTATATGTTTCTTGGCGATTGTGGTAGGGTCCAACAGTATTCATCCATAAAACAACTTCTTCTTTATCTTGATACTGTAACAAGAAAAACAAGACATGTGCTTTTAAAATATCTAATTCAATTAATGTATTGTCTGCATTCATTCTAGAAAGGTGAAACAGTAGAAACTTAATCTGAGTACCACTGCCCACACTTTCAAAAGCAAGCTTCGTGACTCTTAAAATGTTGTCCTGACTGTGGTCTCAGGATCCATTTTCTCCAAACTTTGTTTTACAAAAGTCAATATTTTTAAAAAGTCCAACGGCTCCTAAGAGTAGGTAATAGTAAGCCCCAAACCAACAAAATTTGACAGGGAAACCTGCACAAGGAAGGAGGAAACAAAATCAACAGCTTATCTAGACCCTCATGTTAATCATTAGGTTCCCTCCCCCCACAAACTAATGTCAGCACAAATAAATACAACCTTCCTTCTCTCAGTCTTTCTCACAGATACTGGTCAAAGTACTAGACCAGAGACAAATAACTAAAAAGAGAAAAGCAACACAGGAACATTCAAAGCCAATCCCACCTGTCAAGAAAGACTCACCTTGCATGTATATTTCTTTGAATAATATACCTCTAACTATCAGTGAATATTACATGTCGCCACATATAGGCCCAGGATGGCCAACTTCAACTTTTTATGGCCCAGCAGTAGGATCTGCCAAAGATTTCTTAAAATCGCTATGAATTTAAAATTTATAGCAATATTAACTAGACACTATCAGATTTCTTTTTTAAAATATTTATTTTTAAATTGTGTGTGTGTGTGTGTGTGTGTGTGTGTGTGCGCGCGCGCGCGTGCGTGCGCGCCCTTGGAGGCCAGAGGCATCAGATCTACCCAGAACTGGAGGTACAAGGAGCTGTGAGCCGCCCTATACGGGTGCTAGGAACTGAACTCTGGTCATCTACAAAATCAGTAAGTGCTCAGGTATTTAAAGTTAACTAACAGTATTAAAAGTTGGTCCAATGGAATAATATTTATGAAGTGCCTAGCATGTGCCAACAATTGTGTTGGTCACTGAGGATCCTGTTTTCAACAGAATGTGTTCCCCACCCTATTGATCTCTTAAAGGGAAAAAAATCATGTAACAGGAAGCTATCCAACTAGCAACTACAGGAATTTCTATTTCCAGTTCTCCCACAGAAAATTGATCGATGAACACTTTCAACAAAAACCTATCTTTTTTTGTTTTGTTTTTTTGAGACATGGTTTCTCTGGGCAGCCCTGACTGTCCTGGAACTAGCTCTGTAGACCAAGCTAGCCTCGAACTCACAGAGATCCGCCTGGCTCTGCCTCCCAAGCGCTGGGATTAAAGGCGTGCGCCATCACCGCCCAAAATCTATCATGTTTACAATCAAATTCACCCTACTCAAATCTACCAGTTTCAACTGTTTTCCTAATGATACTACAATTCTCTAGACATGGAGATTCAAACCCAAGGGTCTTTGTCTTCCAAAGAACCCCAAACCACCAGCTTATCTACTCTTACCCCCAAAATTGGCTTCTTCCTTTTCTACTCATAACACCACCACCCTAAAACATACTAAATGCCTGGTTTTCATACAAGACATCATTCAGGTCACCAAAGAAACAAAAACTATCTTACTGTTCATATACACAGGCAGCATATAGCAAGCCCTAAGTTAGATATTAAGACATAAGGACAATAAAAAGATCCTTCTTGCCTGGCAGAGTGGCATATGCCAGGCATGGTGACACATTAATTCCAGCATTTGGGAGGCAGAGACAGGAGGTTCTGAGTTCAAGGCCAGCCTGGTCTATGCAGTGCATTCCAGACCAGCCAGAGTTACATAGTCAGATCATGTCTCAAAAATAAAGACTACTTTTCTTCCCTTCAAGTTCCCAATCCACACAGAACCATACAAGTAAGTGATTAACAATGGTGGAAAGGTGTTGATTACAGAGAGCTACTGTAGCAACAATAAAGGAACAATTAATCTCACTTCAGCAGAGAAAAGTCAGAGTGAATAGTCATACAGAAAACCACACGCTGCTCCAAGTCAGTTCGGAGAACTACTACAGCTAATCTCCACTTGTGAAGTAAAGAATCAAGGGTCTGAGTACAGGTGTCTCCACAGACCTCCATCCATAACTATTCCTTTTATTCGGGGGCACGACTGACAAGTCTGTATGTAGGTCATTGTTCTCCCATAATGCACGACCACAGAGCACTAATCAAAGTACTTCTTTCTACTTACACATCCTCAGAATTCTCCAAACTGAGATCTACAACAACCACTTCTCTCTGATCAGAGTTCCAAGAATTAAAACCTACTTACCAAGTCGAAATGTTACAATGTACAAAAGTATTTAATACCACTGGTACACACTGAAGATATGGTGACATGTTAAGTTCACTGGAGACTTAGTCTCAAGTATGCACTGACTATAACAGTATACATCAGAAAAAAAAGAAAGGAGAGGGAGCAACACTTGAGAATGGAATATCATATAGAAGTGCCCACTAATGAGAACCTGGCCCTGAATCCTGCCAAGTCTGTACAAGAAAATACCTTTGCGATAAACCTCACAATATATGTATTGTTTAGAAATTAAAAAAAATCTGAACATAATTATTTCTTTAAGCCATTCATTTTATATACAATGATACAGTTCAAGGATTACCATGTAGATTAAACCCACATTCTGAAATAAAGTTAGTCATCCGGAACATCTGTGAAGCTTTGACAGTCTGGTAGAGTTGTGTGCTACATGAGCCAAGAACTACAATAAAAATGTGCACATTCTCTGGTCTAAGATGTTCTCTAGGATTAAGGTAGCGGCCAGAAACACAAAGTTGCAGGTGAACTGTAAGAACTGTAACAACAACGTGTCCCCTTCTGCAGTCTCCGACTCTCTGGGAACAGGGCTCAAGCAATGATCAGGAGCACACTGGAGTTGCCCTGAGCACTAAGGCACAAACAATGCTTCACTTCTTTTACAGGGCTCCTTTATGCACTCAGATACAATGAACTTAAAATGTTTATTACTTCATCCTAGACTTTATTCGACTCTGAAAATAAGAGCTCCCGAGCAAGGTCAAGAATTCATTCTCACTGAGCATGGTGGCACATACTAATCTTATGCTCAGGAAGTTGTAGCAAGAGGATTATGAGTTTGAAGCCAGTCCACACTACATAGTGAGACCCTGTCTCAAGAAAAACCAGAGTTTTATCTTAAGAGAAAAAAACATGTTTAAAGATATCTTGAAGCTCAAAGAACCAAAAGGAAGATTTCAAAGAACCGTGTAAGGAGATGGGAAAGCTTTTTCTCCCCTCAAGCTGCAGACAAATTCTCTGAGCTCCTGAGGTCTGGAAGAAGGCTTTTCCTTCACTAATCTACCTCTTAGAAACTAGCTGCGGTAAAGGTGGGTCTAATTCCCTCCCAAAACATCCCAACAAGTCCTAGCAAACACTTAAAATACTCTGCTTAGAAAAATTGCACTGGGCAACAGCACTTAGAAACAGGATTTAAAGTTGACCTGAAAAACGTTATCTGGGGGAAAGGACTGTCAAGGAAGCAGAGCAGAGGTCCCTAGCATGACAGTAATTCCTTCCGTCTGAAGCCTCTGGGGAAGTGGCTGGAGGAAAGGAGAATGCAGCTTCTTGCATTCTTCACCTGTCACTCCCCAGCCCTCAGAAGACTTTCCCTGGAACACTGCTTCCGCACTGTCCACTCCAGTGGAAAGGCTTTAGGCCTGCCCTCCTCTCCTCTTATACTTCACCTTTTCTCTTCTGTCTCTCCCTGCAATCCACCATGCCCATCTTTTCTCCAGGTAGTCAAATTCCACTTGCCCTTCAGAAGTGCTGACCACTCCTTTCTCAATTCCTCAGGGATGGTCTTAACTGACCACCCCTAGCACAGCATGACCTTATCACCTTCAGTGATAGCACCACACTAGCTGCCATTTTATAACCACATACCAGCAGCTAGGCCTAGTCCTAAAGTCTTTGTGCCAACATGATCTCTTCTCAAAACTCCGTAAGATAGGCTGTATTATGCCTGTTTTACAGATTCAAAACAAAAACAGGAGCGATGTTAAATAGCCAGAAATGGTAGAATACACGAGTAAATCCCAGCCTTTGGAAGGATGAGGTAGAGGCAAAGGAAGTCTGATGCTATATCAGGCTCCATAACAATTCTAGGTCAGTCTTGGTTACCCAGCAAGACCTTGTCTCATAAATAAATTGTTCAAGCTCATATAATTATTAGTTCCAAGTTTACAACTTAGCACTATACTTTTGTTGACTTCTAGTTTTATTAACCAAAAGGAAAAAATGAATTTTAAAAAAAGCACAGCTGTACAGAGCAACGAAAGTGCGCGGCCCTCAGTGCCAACCTTTTCTCTTGAGACTTGGATCTGCCCTAAAGGAAAACACTTCAGATACTACTTGCACTCTGATCTCTAAAGTCAAGCCCTTCTTCTCAAGTATAGTGCTGGGTCCCATTTATTCTGTTTATGCTGGAGGTGAGGACCCCAAAACCTTATTCCCTGACAGAGGTCATCAATTTTTTCCTCAAGAGGAAGACTGAAAAAAACCATTGCTGACCTCTTTCTAAAACCAGAATAAGGAAATCAGAAATTATGCTGCCCACTAAGGATCAGGAGCTCAGGATAAGGCCTCCAATGCTACCTTTCATTTTACAGGAAAGGAACATGTTGACTTCAAAGTGCTTTTACCAGAGAAAGCAAAATCTGTTTCTGCAAGTATTTCAGAAATTAGTTTCAAAAGCCTTTCAATTATTTAAAACCACACATAAGGATGTTAATAGAAATAAATTGGAAGTGCGGTTTTGATTCACAGGTTGAGATAACCTTTTTTAAAATAGCTTTGTACCTAAACTTTCAGTCTATCACTAAGTACAACCCAAAACAGGCTCAAGTACGGCATTTCCTACAAGCCAAATCTGCACCAGCACATTCACAAACTCATTTATAGGACATGCCGTATTCTCAAGATAAACCTTCAAATCCATTTCTAACGTTCCTATACTTCTAACAGAGACTAA